CCAATATTGGTAGAGTTACAGCCTGTTATGAAAGTGGTCTTTACCCTGGCGGACTTCTGGTGGAGTGCTGACTTTGAAGCCAGATTGCCTGGGCGTCCTTTGGATGCAGTATCTCATACTCGGGACCCTGATTCTACACGACGCCAGCCTTCCAACGGTACCCTGGACGTCTCCCTGGCATCCATCTTGGTAGAGTTACAGCCTGTTATGAAAGTGGTCTTTACCCCAGCAGAGTGCTGACTTTGATGCCAGATTGCCCATACGTCCTTTGGGTGCAGGTTCTGAGACTCGGGAGCTAGATTCTACTTGATGCCAGCTTTTCAACGGTCCTACAGAAGTCTTCCTAGTGCCAATATTGGTGCAGTTATCTCCTGTCAGGTAAGTGGTTTGAGCCAGATTCGTAGCAAAGGGTTGGGGGGGGGGCTTTCTTTCTGTACCATGTATTATAGAACTGACTTGAATATGATGAGAAATACTATTTATGTGAAAGGTTTCAGAATCTACATATGTGACCTGGGTCACAAGGTCTAATTCTAGTATTGCAGTAGTGCTTGCTTGCGTTCTGGCTGTATCCTGAGTTATTCCACCAAGGCTTCCTTCCTTGCGTTCTGACAGCATCCTGAGTTGTGGCACCAAGGCTCGCTTGCATTCTGGCTGCGTCCTGAGTTCTGGCGCCAAGGACCGTTGCGTCCTGAGATTTGGCAGCTGCCGTCTTGCGTTCTGATTAATGGTTTGCGTCCCTTGCATCCTGTGCGTCAGACGCACAGCACGCACAGCACACACAGCACACAAGTTTTTATTTTTACTGATGTTAGTAAGAGTAACTTTGAATAATCTTACTACTTAACACACAACAAGCCAGTTTACACCTCTAAATTTTTATTTCTTATTTCATTTACTAATTATTTGGCTAATCGCTATAATTACAGGACACTGGTTAACTGCTTTGTAGATCCTTTTGCGAAGTTTATGATGCAGGAGTGTATGCGCCATTTCGCTTTCGTCACAGCTCCCCCCATCAATCACTCGTCACCAACCCCCAACGTGATCACGTGGGGGTGAGACAGCGCCTCTGCCGTGCAAGCATCCCCTTGGTGCTAGCAGTTATTATTATTGGCGCCGGTGTGGAATGGAGAGGGGTTAAAGACAAGCCCCGTTCCCCGACACGGTACCAGGTACAGCTACTGCTTTGTTTACTCGAGTACAGTACTCGTTCTTTGGGTAACAGTCCCTATCAGAGCGCGATGCAGCGAAAGTCAACCAATCTCCACACCAACCTCCGATCGGGCCGAGAATGGAAATTGGTACGCTATGATACTCGCACAGTACTGTACTTGTACCGGTGAAGGGCCAAAATTGGCTATTCCCCAAACGTGATGGTTACCCTCCGCCATCTACTCGTACTCGCGCCTGCACTACTAGTTAGTACAGGTAGTACTTGTACTAAGTGCTCTGTGGGCATCGGCTGTTTTGTTTGGCGGGATGAGAATGGTACGGTGGTGATGATGCACCCATTGGTCTGGGGTCATGTTACTCGAGCACACACTGTTGTTGCTTTTAACGCCCACCTCTACGAGTAATCGTTCCTGCTGGGAACCACGTTCCCCCGGTTGGTTCCTGGCGGTAGGAGAAGCGAGAAATGGGAGGATATTCACTTCCACAGGGCCGATTGTCGCGTCGAACAATTTGCCCCTAGCCGAACCTTGGCGAGGACCGGGGCAAACGCCAACTCTTGATTTCTGTTTGTTGGTTGGATAGGGAAGTTTACTGGTACAAGTACCAGCACGGTAGTGGGGAGCACGATGAATGAAGGGGGGAGGGAAAACAGCGGATGCTTGATGGGCGACCCAGTTCACTTGTGAGAGAGCATTTGGAATGAGGTGTCGTACCGGATTGGAGTACCTAGATGCGCAAACGAAGTTCATCCTTGGACACCAGTACCAGTTACAATACGGTGAACTGGATTTGATTCGTTTGGCAGAGGCAACATATCACTCGATCACACCGGTACTCGTGTGCCCTCGCCATTCATCCTCGCGCATAAGTTACCGTACTGTAGAAACGCGATATGTATCGGACCCAAGACGGATCCCGTGCGATGTTTAGGCCACGAGGAAGGCAGGCCACTCTGAGTCCCATTCTCGCTGCACAGGGTGGTGGCGGTCGCGGGATGGTAACGCACAGGTAAGGTCGCCCACCACTGTCCCGGAAGGCCAAAATACGAAAATCTGCTCTGGACAGCGGGTGATCTGGGACGACAGGTCACGCGCTGACGCGGAGAAATTCAGAACTCAGAGGGATTCATCCGAGACCGCGCATCCGGACTACTCGAGTATCATCGGGTTCCAGGGCGTTGGGAGGTGTATCTATACTTTCCCGCAGCGGCACCTTTTCCCACGAATTAATTAACCATCTCAATGAGCATGAATTGAGCGGAGCAAATATTATGGCTGGATTCTTCGAGGATATTATAGAAGTCACCATGGAGATTCCGGTATGGATGCGGGAATACGATCATAGATTCATTGAGAGGGTCATTCTTGCGAGTCTCTCAGAGGCAACATACCGTAGCTCATCACACTTGTACTAGTACTGTACTAAAGTGTTGTATACAAGGGCACATCATGCGTTACTCGCATTTCAGTACTACCCATGCTAGCTATCATACGCTTGTGCACAGTACAGGTACCGGCACTATACGAGTACTCTGTAGTGCCTCACCTCCCGCTGCTCTGTACTTGTACCCCAAATTCTCATGAACGGGGCATGGTACTTGTACAGAGAGGGGAGGCGATGATGTAAACTGCTCCGGTATTTGCTTTATGGCTTCCAATAATACCAGACATTATTTCTATTCTAACTTGAGCGGACAATTTCGGTAAAGTGCAGGGTGCCATATTGGGGGAATGATCTTTGTGGGGTTTTTTGAACTCTTTTGTTTTCCGCTCTCCCTTCTCTCAGAACTTGAAAGGGTCCAAAATCAGGCAGGCTCGTCTTTCCTGCTTCTTGTATCATACCAGCACTCGTACTTGTACTCTACATGTAGGTATCATCCTCGAGAGTAGTGTCACACGATAATATGATATATTACGGGCGGGAGGAGATGTCTCTCTCTCTCTCTCTCTGTTGTTTGTTTTTTTTTTTTCATTTCTTTTTCCCCCGACGCACGAACCAGCAGACTCCAGAAACCCTGCAGGCCCATTTCTTCCTGCACCCGCAATCGCCGTCCTTACGTTCCTTGTTTTTTATCACCCTTTCCATCCCTTCCCCTGCCCAAAAAGGGTCCAGTGCTCGATCAATCAAACAGGGCTGGTCAGGTTGGGCGGCAAGATGGGCACCCTCCCCATACCGGTACCGGTAATGCAGAATCTCCATAAATACCGGTACTATGCTATATAGTAACTTTATCATACTAGTACTTGTACCGGTACGTGTTCGTATCACGTCGGACTCAACCAATTTCCTGCGACCAGTTACTGCACAATAGGTATCTGCATGTTCAGGCGTTCGCATCCATCAAGAGAAACGGTCTGCCCTCACCCGTCATCGTCATAGAGCAAACCGTAAGAGGTGCGTATAATAGGGATAGGGGTGGGAACACCGGTACCTCTGAGAACAGGTATTGCCGTATGATATGATGCTGTAAGTCCCGTAATGTATGACACGGCATGGTGCGGTATAAGACAAGTGAGGGGTGCTCAGTGCCTTAGGGTACTGGGTACGATTTGGTACTCAAGGACAGTACGTAGGAGGGTGTGGGTATGTGGTGTGTATAGGTACTTGTAACCTTTCCTCATAGGCCCGAGTACTCTGCTGTACCAGTGCGGGTGTAGTGGGACCCTATGATACTTGAGTGTATTTTTTTTCTCTGGTCGGTTGTCTGTTTTCTCTTCTTCCGACATATGATGATATCCGCTCCTGGACAAATACCAGTACTGTGCTCAGTGTGCTGTACTCGAGTACAAGTACTTGTACCGGTGTGGTAATCAGTAATTCTGACTATCTGCCTTTCGCAGCGGGCAGATTACGAAAGTGAATGAACTCGGTTGCGCTTTGAGGACGACACAGCCGTCGACTGGCCCTGAAAACTGGCATTTTTTGGCGTGTCTCAGGCATAAAGAAGGGGGTGCTGTGGCATATCTTGGAGTCGAATAAGGAATCGCCCCGATTTTGGAGATACAACCCTTCGAGACCGACACCTCGACCTGCACCACAGGCAAGGCCAGGGCACATCCTCACCTCACTCGCACCTCGCACCTCACACTCTCACTTCTACCCGCACCCCACCACTACTCGAGTACTGTACTCGAGTACCCATTGCTACCACACCCTGCCCCCTCAAAAAAAAAAAAAAAAACAAAAAATCACACACAACTGCATGCATGTCCACCACACCCACCTTCTCGACTGCGAATCTCCACGGCAAGATCCAGCGAACCTATTATTTTTTTTTGCTGGTAATTGGATTGAGCTTGGTGCTGATCTGTGAACATCGTTCTGCATTCATTCATTTCCATTCCCACGTCCCTTGCCCCCAAATTTCTACGCTCGTGCCTTCCTTTCTCCCCCCTCTCTTCCTTTCTTCCCTTCTCATCCATTCATTCACTCACTTCTCCCCCCCTCTCCAGGTTGGAACCCGTGAGCAGCGAGCAACGACAGGTTGGAAGGCAAGGTTCGACTCGGTTCGGAGGGAAACCAGGGAGAGGAGAGCATCTCAAGCAGAAGCAGGAACGGAACCGGGCAGCAAGCTCGAGCTTGGATTGGCCCATTCCCGTCCACCGCACACGGCGATCGCCATCCGTCTACCCCCTTCTCACCTTCAACTGTTCGGCCCTAGGGAAGGCTGATATCCGCCCCCCTCCTCCGCACCATCCACCCTTCGCACAATGTCTTCAGTGTCTTCTGTTATATCTGATGATATGCTCAAGGCCTGCCCCACCGTCACTCACACTGTCACCACGAAACGTCGCTCTCTGTATCATTCGAACTCCTCCGAGTCTCTTCGTCCGGCGATAAAACGTGTATCTTGCTGCACGGCAGGCGTCTCTGCCACCGCAAACACCAATCTGAAGATGCGGTCACATACACCAGCTATGGATACGGTTGATTTCGACAACCTTCCCCCAGCAGTCAGGCGAAAAGTGAGTCTTTTTTTTTTTTCTTTTCTTCCCTCTACTTCTCCGTAACCCACCCTCCTCTCTTCATTCCATGCCATTGGCCCGCAATTGCGGTTGCCCCCAAAGTTGGAAGGAATAGTTTACGGCTACAGAGAATTGAATGCTTACCTCTTTCTTTCTTTCCTTCCAGTATTTCTCTTCCCTGGAGAGATTGCGATACGCACAACAACACCAAAATCAGAATAGCGTGTCGCGCTTACCATTGCCCAACCATGGGAGGACAATGAGCTCAGCCAGTGGGAAGTTTACAAGGTTAAGGACCAAGGGCCGACCGTCGTATGACAGCTTTCGAAGCACACATACACCCCCTCGGCCAGCAAAGCTCTCCAAGCCTAACCCTGAGGCCAATGCCTTCCTGCTGTCTCAGGCTGACGCTAAATGGTATCTTGAGTTACCGGAGACAATCAGGAGGAAGCATTTTTCGAAGGAGGAGCGCATCCTATTGGCGACTAAATGCGAGAGCATTATCGTAGATGCTGCAGACGAGGCTATTTATCGAATGGGAAGGCACGCCAGCCGTAGTTTGGATACACTTGATAGTCACAGGTCATCAGGATCAGGTTTCAGGGACTCGATATATGATAGGGACGCAAGGAATGCTGTCGAAGATATCCGAAAATCTTTTGGGTGGTTAGATGAGGATGGTACGTTGGATTTACGGCTGGACGAGTTTTATTGCTCCGATTCAAACAAGTTCGAGACCAATCCTGCTCCCTCGAGAATCTCTCACAAAAGGACCCTATCCCTCTCTGGAAGGACTTTCAGAACTCATTCATCAACATCCTCTGCTCTCACTATCGGTCGACCATCCCAGGGAAGTCGTCGTCCGACATCTCGCGGTGCGAACATCGCCAGACATCAACCATCCTTTTCTCAAAGCTTTAATTCTATGGATAGCGATGCTGCCTACTATCAGGACCCCGAGGCCAGATTGAAGCTTCGGGTATACTTAGCGTCCCCTCAAAAATTTGATGAGGCGGTTGAATTTGGGTTTCCTTCCACAGCAGAATCGAAAGGGTTCTCAAAGGCTCACCCGAGAACCGCAACAATTCGGAAGGTAGAATCGGAAATTGATGGCTTGCCCTCCAGCGAGGGAGACAATATGTTTAACGACTTTGATAACGTCTCGATGGCTGTGGGCGACGTTATGGATTATCAAAAGATGCGCGACCTCGAGGACCAGACCCCGTCAACCGTGATGCCGTCTAGGGTCAGCAACGTCAGTGTCTTTGACCCCTATCCTCACGCCTCCCCGGGAAATAGGGAGATGACATTGCGCATGACCTTAACCCGGAAGGACCTACGTGCGGACGAGAACGAACTGTACGGGTGGAGGAAGAGTGATCCACTTGCGCTGGAAGATCTCCCCCCAGCGAGCGATTCGGATGCGGGCCAGTTTGACTGGGGCCAAAGTGGAAAGGCTTCTCAAACCGGACTCAAGAAACTGTGGCGAAAAATGCGGGGGCTTCGGTGATCTTGTATAATTCGGGTATTGTCGTGTTTTACTCTCCTTGACCCCACTTTTCCTCATTTCTGTTCTGTTTGATATCCGCGTTACGCATCCGGCTTGGGCTACCTTTTGTATTTTTCCTGTTCATCGGCCAGTTCCTCGACCCATTGATTGGGAATATTGGACTTATCTATTGGTATACTTTTCATTCCATTACTTTGCTATTTGATTTCTCTTGAACAGGTTGGTGGGGTGGTGGCGGCGCACGGTTTTCCTGGTTTTCAATATTTCATTTAACTTCATGCTTGTCTTTCTTTTCTTTTCTTTTCATTTTTTTTTTTCTTTTCTTTTCTTCCAAGATTTGTGGGGAGGTTGTGCCAACGTTTTCATGAATCGGGTGAATTTGGGGGCCCTGGACACAGTTCTTTGTGTTTGTTCTTTCGCATTCACTTCTAGAAAAGTTTGTCATTTCATTTTATTTCATTGGGTTACATAGTTGGAAAGTGGGCTTTCTCTGGATAACGTGGCTAGTGGGCGGTGCTACAAATATGGCATTTCTTTTTTTTTTTTTTTTTTTTTTGTGGGTTGGAGTCCATTTCTCTCTCGTCTTCTATTCCCTCTCCTATTGCTTTGGTCCTTTTTTTGATACCCCTTGCCGCTTCATCTTCACGGTTGAATAAATATTCGCGTGAATCACGTAAAATATTTTAGTCCATAATTTCTTTTTCCACTACACTTCATCATTCCTTTAGTTTAGCTTGTGTCCTGTTCAAGGGGTTCTTTCCTCCTCCATTTTCTTTTTACTTCTGACAAGGGGGAGGAGGGGTACGGGAGGGTGACCTACGTACGATACAAATCATTCGTTTCGTTTCCATACTCTAGTCATTTTATTACCCTAGTGCCATTGTAGCTCTCGAGAAGGAAGAATAATTCCCGTTCGCCATTTATATCTTCTGAAGCCGCCATCTGTACTACACTGTACGGTAGTGTGCAGATGAAACGGGTAGAGTATGGGAGGAGGAATAAGACTTTGTGTTTCGACTGTTATCGTCATCATCATCGCCATCATCGTCACACCATCACGGCCACCATGATAAAGGAAAGGTTGCCATGCTATGATTGCGATTTCCCATCCCCTTCCTCTCTGTATGTTACACGCGGCAGAACGTAGCTGGTCGTGCGTGCATCCGTCTCGCAACGGTGCGAGCACCGTACTAGTACGAGTACAGTACCAGTGCCGGTACGGTACAAGTAGCATTAACGCTGGATCTCTCGATTGGGTGATGGCTGGCGCGCAGTGGGCGGTAAACGAGGGGCGCTTTAATAGTCAGGCACACGGTAGTAGTAGATGTGGTGAGGTCTATAGAAGTAAGGATACTGTAGTCTAGAGGAGGAGGATATTCCGGTGATGGCGTACCGCAGAGAATGATTCACACCAGCATTTTTCTTCTCGGCGTTCGTCGCTACTGGAATTTAACTGTACTCGAGTACAGAAGGAAAGGTTGGACCACCTATACACCGATAGTTGCAGTGTTTTGAAAATGTTCAAAAGGAAGGAAGGGGTTGAGGCTCTCGGTCGGAAAGGCACAGGCTGAGATATCCATCATACAGACAGCTACGGTACGGTATTGATGCACGAGCACTGGGCCCGAGTGCTGGCACAGTGCAGCATAATATCAGCACGGTAGAGGATAGGGTTTAAATATTACAAGTATGTAAGATTTCCCTTGCTCGAGTGGGAGCGATACTGTGCCCGGTATGATACTCGATTACCGTACCGTACTTGTACGAGTACTGTACGAGTACTTGTATGATGCCTATGCATGCCTTGCATTCAGGGGCGCTGGGCAAGAGGACTGCAGTAGTACCGCTATAGCAGCTTCAACTTGTCTGTCCGAGAAGGCGCTTGGCCCGGAAATGTTGGCGCAGAGTTGATACCGGCTAGGGTAGCACAGGGAACGGGCACTCATGGCCACAGCCAGTACCAGTGCTGTAAGAGGGTATCATACATGGACGGTGGGGTGCGGTGGATGGGAAACCTGCATCTTGCCCCTGAGCCCTTCCCTTCCCTCGTGCCCCTGGCGCGCTGCGAGCTTCAGGATCAGGATCGGCAGGGCAATATCCCCTTTCGGCCCCCCTTTCAATGGTCCTGATTGGCCTGTTGGCCACAACTCCAGGCCTCCGTCCTGGAGGAACCTCTCTCTGAGACGCGCCCCCTCCCCTCCCACTCTGTTTCCCCTTCTCGGTGTTCCCCCCCGCCCCCCTCCCGTCCTGATATCTACCCCCTTCTCGGGTTCAGTGTGGTACTCGGGCGTCTCGACGACGAATGAGCAAACCTTCCATTTCCCTTCCAACTGCGTCGGTTTTCCACCCACCGTTCTTCTCAACCCCAACACTCCTTCTGCTTCATTGCAGAGCATTATACCCCGTATCCTCTCTTTTCGCCCCTATCGACTCGTATGGACGGGTAGCCTATCTTGATGAGGCCCTCGTAACCATCCTCTACACGTTCCTTGTCCCTTATTATTGGACTTTTGGTCCTTAGACACTCCTTAACAAACTCAACGCTTCATTGCGCCGGTCGCAACAATCACACTCACTAACTAACACAAATATACGCAATGTCCCTCTTATCGCTATGTGAGCGTCGGTCCCTTGGCATCCATGTTACCGACATGGACGTAGAGGAACCTCAGCCCCCGTTGTTGGGGGAGAAGAGTAACATTGAGGTTGAGGAGGAAGAGTTAAAGTTGGATGGCGAGGGTTGCCCGAAGGTTTCGAGGACGCAGCTTTCTTTGATTTACTCTTTGCATCTAGCCGAAGCGTATGTTTTCCCCCGCACTTGTGCTGGAACCCTGATTCATGGGGTTTCGGTTGACTGATATTCCTGCTAGTATTGTTGCCTCGAGCTTGCAGCCGCAGCTTTACATGTTATTGCGTGATAGTCAGCTTTGCGGAAGCGTCAACTCGGCTTACTGGACTGGCTTGGTGGAGACTATGTTTGCTCTCGGTTCTATTGCCGGTTAGTTCGTTCCGGGTGGGTGCAATTGAGATCTGGAGATGCTGATATGAGAGAAATAGGTCTCTATTGGGGCCGGCTCGGGGACCAGCATGGAAGGAGATCCGTTGCGCTTGCGGGAATGCTCGGGATGACGGTATCTTGTGTGGTTATGGGATTCAGCAATGGTCTTGTTAGCTGTGCTTTGATTAGAGCATTCGCTGGACTTATGAGCTCTTCCATTCGAGTTTCCACCGCCACCATGATTGGGGATGTTAGCGAAACGTCGAGTGCCAAAGCCCGCAACTTCTCAAGGCTTCCGCTCGTGGCCACTGGAGGAGTTATCGGACCACTCTTGCAGGCCCTTCTTGCCCACCGATTCTCATCCGATAACAAGATTTGGAAGACCTTTCCGATTCTGAGCTCCCAACTGGCTTGCGCGAGCTTGATGTTCGTTTTCTTTCTGGTCAACTTGGTTTTCCTTCAGGAGGTGTGTGGCGCTTACTTCCCAACCAACAATCACGTGTTTACTAACAATAATCTCTAGACGCTGCCAACCCCGCCCTCGGAAGGTTTTGACGAGGAAACACAGCTGCTCCCCCGCTCGGCCGAGTTTTTCACTGAGAAAGATACATTCCTTGGACAGGCCGAATACCCTGCTGCCCCGCGCCGCCCAAACACCTTCAGGGATGAGAGACCGGAGCCTATCAGATTTTCTGAGATTATGCGTGCGCCGTCTCTCATGATCCTCTTGTGCTCGTACTCGTTCCTTTCGCTTCACTCGGCCTCCTTTGATCAGCTCTTGCCCCTTCTTGGTAACTCTTCCACAGAGCATGGGGGGCTCGGCCTGCCGTGCTTCTTTCTCTCACTTGTCGTCCTGTTCGCTGGCATCGCTTCCGGCGTCGTGATCTACTTAGGCTTCTCCAAATCGGTGCAACGGCTTGGCCTGCTCCAGCTCTACCGACTCTGCTGCTGGATCTACCCGGTCATCTACATCGCAACACCACTACTGTCTAAGGTTGCTGTAAGCTCCGAGGTCGCCGTATGGATATCGTCGGCTAGTTCAATTTTCACCAAGACGTTGGTCACTGGGTTCGCTCAGACCCTCGTGACGTATCTGGTCACGAATGCCAGCCCTGACGCGTTTAGCCTCGGTAGTATCATGGGAGTCATGCAGGGCGCAAGTGTATTCCGAAGTCTTGCGCTTGCTGGAACCGGTGTCGCATTCTCGCTCAGCGATGATGTGTCGATTGAGGCTACTAACTATAGTCTTTGGGCTGCTATGGCCACCGTTTCCCTCGGCGGCGCGGCTGTGGCATACTTTGTACGGGATCACCCTACTGTGCGGGACTACTCCTCGTCTCTCAAGTGGGAGGTTTGCTACGAATCATCAGAAGACCTAGCCATCTAAATGTGGTCTTATAATAACACCCGGTGCACAGGCACTCATTCTCCTGCCTTATCGTTGCTTTTTACTTCCGTATCGCTTTCCTTTATGGTGCAACGAAGGATATTGGAGGTTCTACCCTGGGTCACACACTTCTTCCTCCGGACTTAGGTCTCAGCTTTTGAGACCCTTTTTTAACTGCACTCTAGGTGTCGAAATCATTCTATCAACAAAATTGTTCGGTCTTTTCTCTTGATTCTGTTCCTATCTATCCACTCCTTCTCTTTCTGTCTAGGAGGGCAGTTGTATTTCTGCCTGGCGACGTTGGTTTATTTTGTGTCATACCCATTGTTTCGACATTTAGCGCTCTCTTTTATACCCGGCCCTTGGGTGGGTTGTATTTAAATAGTTGGGGTGTCTCGTCATTTTCCCTTTCCATTGGTGTATTTTTTTTCTTTTTTTTCCTAGTGTCTTTCTAGCTGCGGATAGTGTTTGCTAACGTGAGCACTTCTTTTCTCTCTTTTCTTTCTCTGCTTTTGAGGAGTTTTTTTGTGTATCACTACTGTCATTATGCGTTGAACCTGTTGAAGCAAAAGAAAAGTGAGAAGGAAGGAAAAAATACCGGTCAACTTCAGGTCGGCGTAGGTCTGTGACGGTGACTACCGAGACTGGGGTGGAAAGGAGGAAAGGAAAAGAAAAATTACCAGTAGCATCGGCAGAGCTGGTGTGAAGCTTTGCCTCGGTTGGCCTCAGTTGCCATACACGGTGGAGGGGGGGGTACAGTACCGGTACTACCGGTAGTACAGCACTTGCGGCTGGAATGCCCAGAATGCCCTGTTCCCGTAGGAGAATTATCGTTGCGCAGCAGAACCCACTCGCTCCGTACTGTAGAGTGCAGGTTCGTGAGTGCGATGGGGTACCAAGTATCATACTCGAGCACATACAAGTACCTGTGTGCGCATACCAACGATGGATAGTCACCCGCTGGTCCCGGGACCGGTTCGAAGCCATGCCCAATCCCACTCGCAAGCGAGAACCGCTTCCCTCGGTTCGGAAGGTGAGTTCTCAGACCAGCCCACATTCCACCGCGGTAAAAGTGCTGGTGCAGTACCGATCGCCAGCGGAGGCGAGTGTCCACACGGTGACGTGCGGACCGTAGCCTGCAATACTGTATTTGTACCTGTACCGGTATCCCAAGCAAGAGGAAGCAAGTCCAACAGTTCGGCACTGCGGGTGCACCGTACAAGGGCGAATCCCCCACAAACTGTACTGGTACGGATAATCCCTGTCTTGCGGAAGCCATGCGCCCTCGGACGTGGCCCTGCGTTCCCGGTCTGCTGAGCGAGGGGGTTACGGTAATACCATATTTGCTCGTCCGATGAAGGTTCACGTGCAATCACTCGGTGGGTCATTATTATCATTAACTATTATCGGCATAGTACGGCACAGTATCATATTACTACAAGTACTCGTACCGTACGAGTATTGGAGTGTGATATGGTGGGGTATCACACCATTGGCGAGAAGTGCAAATTCCAAGGGACTTTTCCGTGCTTCCTTTTTCTTTTCTTTCCATTTTTTTTCTTTTCTTCTTTTCCCTTCCCTAATTCGCTTTCCACCACTGTCATTGGGTAGCTGTGATAATTTCTTGTGGCATCATACCGTATCCATCATCCATGGGCGGAGGCTGATTGGGTATTGATGGGGTAGGGAGGGGAGGTGGGGGAGGTTTTTCTACGGGGCTTTTGTCACGATATCATTGGTGGTGGGTGTCGTTACTGTAGCCGTCCTGTACGGTAGTCGCTCTGATTCGATTGGACTGGGTTGGTGGTCTCGTGCAGTGCTGCCACCGCAACTTTATTTATTATTACCGTACCGTACTAGTACGGTGCCGTGCGGTACGGTATTGTAGTTCTGGGTTGGACTGCGCGTTGCCATATCGGGTCAAGGTAGTTGATGTCCGTATTGCATCAGATTAGTGACGGGGAGGGAGTGTTGGGATGGGGATGCCGGAGCAGAGCTGAGTGAGAAGGGGGGGAGGGAGCTTCTCTCCCCCCCCTCCCTTTAGATTCCCTTCGGGAGAGTGCGGAGAGTATGCGTGTGTTGTTGGGCGGTGGTGGTGGTGGTGGTGGTGGTGGTGGTGGTGGCCGATTACTGATTACTTAGAGAGAGAGGGAGAAGCTATCGTGCTCCACGGTACTGTACTCGAATACTGGCACTGTACTGTGCCATGCGATGCGGGGTTGGGGGGTAGGGTGTCGTGTGGGGTAAGTCTATGGTGGGCTGAATGTAGTAAACATTATGATATTCGTATTGTTTTCTGGGGTTGCTTTTTTTAATGAATTATCAATGAGGGATTAGTTGAGTTCTTAATGCCGTGGAGGTTAGATTCGGTGTTGTCTGCATCTTGGATACCATACTTTATATGCAGGGTACACTCTATCAATTAAAGTTATACCGGTATCAGCCGAATATCACTTTTCTCCTTGCATAGACTAGTCTACTCGGACTGGAAGGGTGAGTATGATAACTGCACGAGTACCGTACAGTGCGGCACTGTACCGTAGGGCACTATTTTATACGAACATTACCGTATCCGAGTACTGTACCCTACAGGCACAGTACAGCACAGTACTGTATTGTGCATAGCGGTACATGTAGGGTACACGCTCGCACGCAGTTAAGGAAGATGGAGCCGAAGCCTGGTTGCTGTCCCATTGGATTTGTCATAGAGATGGGCTTTGTAATGTGAATTACCCTTTTGGGCGATGATGTCGCCATCGGTTTCCATCACGGATGGAATCTTTTAGATGGAGCAAACCCAGTTATTATTGTTATTATTAAGTCGGGTTGGAGAGGGAGGGAAGGGTATAAAGAGGGTAGAAGACGGAACTCACCTCCTTTCCCCTCTCCCCTGCAATCGTCTTGCAGCTCACTGCTTTCTCTCCCTCTCCCTGCCGTGAAACCCAAAACGCTCTTCCTTTGTTTGATACCCGTAAGGTACATATATATATATATATATATATATATATACATACATATATATTTTCCTCTCCCTGTCCTTTTTCGCACGGTTTTTGTACCGGTACTATATACGGTGATCTGGCGAAAGTCGGATTGGAGCTGTAGAGGGACTGAGCCAGCAACAGGAGCGTAAAGACCGCAATCGGCACCCGACACAGCGGAAGAGGAGCGTTTAGGTCCATTTGGGAGGGAAATCTACCGAGAGTCCGTGCCTAGAGTACCGGCACATCCACCTGCTTCCCCTCCTTTTGTGTCCTTCCCTCCTCTCTTCCGAGAAATCGGAGTCCCCTTCTCTCTTAAGGGCCTCTTTCCCCTCCTCCCTTCCTTCCACCCTCACCGCCGGCCTACCGTTAGGCAAACTCTCTTCTTTTTTCTTTTCTCTCCTTTCCTTTCTCTCCGCCCCACCCACCCCTCCCCTCCCCTCGTCCTCACTTTAATACCCGTTCGGTCCTTCCATCAAATCAATTCACCATGACAATTGCCACTCTCCCAATTGAGGACGCTCCCCGTTTCCAGAAGGACACCCGTGGCTTTGCTACCCGTGCCGTTCAAGCCGGTGCCCCTCATGATCCCGTCACTGGTGCTGTCATCGCTCCCGTAATTCTCCCAATCCCTCCTCGATTACTTTTTGGTCCCTATTCCCCAGGTGCTGATAAATTCTCTAGATCTCGCTTTCCACTACCTTCGCTCAAACCGGTGTTGGAAACCCGGTTGGTCTCTACGAATACTCTCGCAGCTCCAATCCCAATAGGGATCACTTTGAGCATGCCGTCGCTGCTCTAGAGAATGCCAATTACGCCCTGGCATTTTCCTCTGGTTCCGCCACCACTGCAACCATCTTGCAGAGCCTGGCAACCGGCTCCCATGTCATTTCCATCTCTGATGTCTATGGCGGGACCCATAGATATTTCACCAAGGTTGCTGCTGCCCACGGCATCCGCGTTACCTTTACTGGTGCGATTGAAGTCGATGCCCGTGCCATGATTGAGGAGAATACCAAGTTGATTTGGATTGAGACCCCTTCCAATCCTACACTATCGCTTGTTGATATCCAGTCTGTTGCCGATGTTGCCCACGAACATGGCATTATGGTGGTTGTTGATAATACTTTTTTGTCGCCCTATGTCCAGAACCCGTTGGACCATGGTGCAGACATCGTTATCCATTCGGTCACAAAGTACATTAACGGGCATAGTGTATGTTGCTCCATGTCGGACCTGTGCAACCCCCGGGTTGATGCTGACGCTTATCATAGGATGTGTTGATGGGTGTCGCCGCGTACAATTCCTCTGAACTCAACGACACACTGACCTTCCTTCAAAATGCTATTGGAGCCGTCCCGAGCCCCTTTGACTGCTGGCTCGCTCATCGAGGCCTGAAGACACTCCATCTCAGAGCCAAGGCTGCCAACGAGAATGCTATGGCCATCGCTCAATTCTTGGAGTCTTCTCCTCATGTCATCTCGGTCAACTACCCCGGTTTGAACTCTCATCCCCAGCGCAAAGTCGCCATCAAGCAACACAGAAAGGCAATGGGTGGTGGAATGATCTCTTTCCGCATACGTGGCGGCTTCCCAGCGGCCGAGCGCTTCTGCAAGGAAACCAGGATTTTTACTCTCGCTGAATCGCTTGGGGGTGTCGAGTCCCTTTGTGAGGTCCCGGCTAGTATGACTCATGCTGGGATTCCTATTGCCGCTAGAGAAAAGTCCGGCGTCTTTGACGATCTTATTAGATTGTCTGTTGGTATTGAAGACGCTGAGGACCTTGTGGATGACATCTCTGGTTCTATCTCCCGGGTTATGGATTCATTCAGGGCAGAAGAAGCCACTGCCTGATTTTGCTCCCTGCGCCTGGCGTCCCCCTTACACATTTTGCTTTTGCTTTGCTTTCGCTTCTTTTTTTCTTTTTTTTCTTTTTTACCCCTGTAATGACATTTAGAATGAAGTCTTGGTCATGTTACTTAGACGGGTGGCTGATTCTGAATGATAGACGACTGGGAACTTCAGAAATGGGATTGAGGACACACTGCGGTGTGAGTTTCGTTTCATTTTTTTCTCACGTTTCCTGTTTTCCGACCTTCTCTGGTCTTGGGCGTTTCTTGGTGGCTTTGATGTTTTTTTTTTTTTTTACAAACTTTCTAGAAATTCATACCAGTATATACGGGTCAATAGGATTGCAGTATGGTGGTGAATGTTGATCGGTTGAGGGGTTGTAGTGGGGCGGCTCGTGTTAATATGGCTCAGCTTTCTTGAAACCTGGTCCAACCAACTACATACAAACCGGCAACGAAATAACTCCTCCAAAATAACAAGTATCAGAGTAAAAAAAGCATGAGAGTATCTCACTTTTTTTTTTTTTTTGCAATAAAAGATATGAAAAAAGAGAAATTGAAAAGAGTTTGTATGAAGATGAAACATGTACTGAAAAGTTCGGTGCAGCAGACTAAGATAAACACCAAGAAAGTGGGGCTCCTAGGATAGGCTGTCCAGCAATGATTGTCTTTAGGGATAATGTGACATTTTTCTAATAGGAAGTGAGTTGGGCAAGGGTCTACTGTGCTGCAGGATTGAACAGGTATGCATAATTGCCAATAATATACACTCTGGTGGTTTGGTCTCAGCATCGGCAACTCCGGTCACTTCGGCATGTGTTTCATCGCTGGACCACATTTTAGGTCGGTTGCACTACAAGTATATATCGTTGACAGTGGTTACCGGGGTACTAGCCAGCTGGGGTATAAACATGGTTGGTAGACGTTGATTTACGTCGATACGCTCTGGCGGTGGTCTCCTTTTATATGGTACTTTCCTGTTAATAAAGGATTGGATTCACGGACAGAGCTTTCCCGAGCACAATGGAGTATAGTATAGTATCGTATGCTACACAGGGTAACGAAAATTACCGGTATCCATAATTGGATATAGTCGTTGTACGAAACCTTTACCAAATACATAATAATACAGCGGGCTCCATAGCATAGTTACCGCGCGAGAAAAGGCCGCCGCCTCCCATCCCCCTACCACCCATCCAGTCTGCCAATCTTTTTACTCCCTTTCCTTTCCTCTTGGTATTCATTACATGTATTTCTCGCTACCTCCACTCCCCCTTCCCCCATACCTATGCCCATAACCACGGCCACCAAATCAACTAAAATCCTCCGCCTTCCCCGCAACCAGCAACCCAATAATCAGCCCAAAAAGCCCCAACACACTGCCGAAAATCTCAATGACAAGGATCTTGACAAAGAGCGAGGGGTCTGCCGCGTCAGCCAGCGCTGCAGACGATCCGGTTATCCCCACAGCGATTCCGCACACAGCATTACACATGCCGACCGTTATTCCACCCCAGAATATTGCATAGCCCGTGTAGTAGTTTTTCGGATCGTAGAGGGCATCCGAGGGAACGTCGGACAATTTTGCCGAGAAGACGATGCCTGCAGGGATGTTAATGATGAAGGGAGGTAGGGGGAAGAGGGGAAGGGGAAAAGTACTCATAATTACACCGTAAATGGCTACCACTTCGCAGAAGATGATGGAGATTAAGTTCTTTGTGCGGATTCTTGGGGCGCGCACACCACCGCCAATTATGCTTGAGCCAGTTACGAATATTCCCCTGGCCCATGGGTGTTAACTCCTGGGGTGATGGTTGGGACGAGAGTTGTTACCATGCTGCGCCGACGACGCTGAGGCCTATGCATAATGCTACACCTAGCGAGGCCCAGGTGTATGGCGATGTTTCCTCCAAAAATCGACCGATCTAGTGAACAGTTAGCCTCGTCAAAAGAGAAGGGCAAAGGAGGAGGTGGTGGAGGTGGTGGCGGTGCATAAATGGAACCCACGTTGAAAGCCTCGCCCTCTCCATTGAAAAGCATATCTACCAGTTTCAATCGTTCGTTTGTTAGCTATGGACAGATTGTTATAAGGGGTGGTGGCCGATGGACTGGAGGAAAGTAAAAGGCGTACAAGCTCCGACAACGAGCACCGCTGTAGTCAGCGTTCCGGCTCTATAGTAGTATCCCATGATGTTATCTGTGGCTGCGGAAAGGAAAGAAAAAAAAAAGAAGGCAAGATGAGCTTGTTGAAGTTAACCGTGGTTGTATGATACGCAAGGTTCGTTCTTTCCACGAACGCCCACCTCGGAAGTTGTTGGGTAGACGATTGGGCGCTGTGGCGGGTGGCTGATACATACAGTCCCTCCCGCTAAATTACGTCAGCAGACCACCGGAGCACAAACTACAACCCTCACAGCTCCGGCTCTCTGCCTGGTGGCCAGCACTGTATCATTTTATCCCATTTCTATTTCCCTTACCCTAACAACTCCTAAATTTCGCCATTCAGGGGTTTTCTTTCGTATACTCATCCATTTATCCTCATCACCATCAAGACCACTCCTCATCTCCTCTCCGCCAGACATCGATAGATAGATATCCGGATACCTCCCCTCTCAAACTGCAAAAATGGGATCAGATCCCCAGTACGCTTCCTATCCGAACCTACTTCTCTCACAGCACATATTCACCCTCCGCACCCCCTCGCTATCCGCCTACCACCCCGCCGCAAACAAGGCCCTCACCGCATCCATCAAGGAAGCTTCTCAGGCCCCTCTCTATCGATACCTTGCCCATCCTGCTGATGGAATACTGTCCAGTGAGATTGTTTGGGACGAGGGGTACTATGAAGAGTTGAAGAAGGGCAACGATAAAGAATTGGAGGTGCTCGACACGGAGATCAAGGAGAGTGATGAGAAGGCGGGAGAGTCGGAGGTTGTGGAGGCTATGGGGAAGAAGGCCGAGTTTTTTGCCAGGGTTGTGGATAAGGTTGGTCCTTTTCCTCAGCCATGGGGAGGGTTCGCTGTGAGCTGGGATTGGTTTGGGGTTGAGAGTTGACCATTGGGATTAGGAGAGAGCTCTTGCTGCGTATGAAGAACTCTACACCAAGACTCCGACTCTAGGTGCAAAGATCGATATCGTCCTTGCCATTATCCGTATGGAGATGTTGTACGATGATAAGGCTGGGGTTAAGAAGAGCGTTGAGCGTGCTAGACGGTATGTTTAGATATAGGTGTTGCTAAATTGCTGGGAGCTATAACTGATCGCGACAGCCTCATTGATACCGGTGGGGATTGGGATCGCCGCAATCGCCTAAAGTCTTACACGGGATTGCATCTGCTTTCTTGTCGCCAGTATGCCGAGGCCGCACCACTACTCCTCGACTCCCTGTCTACCTTTACATCGACAGAAATATGCTCTTACTCTACACTCGTCCTCTACGCTGTTCTTGCTGGCACAATCTCTCTCAATCGTGTTGATTTTAAGGCCAAGGTTATCGATTCGGCGGAGGTGCTTGCTGTCCTGGGTTCTAGGAGTGGAGGCGCAGTTTCTGCGGGAGACGTTGAGATGATAGGTGCTGAGACGGAGGATACCGAGGGTTACTCTTCGCTGGAAAGCCTGGTCAACAGCCTATATCTCTGCGAGTACAAGAGCTTTTTTGTTGCGCTTGCGGACGTAGAAGAGCTCTTCTTGAGCAGGGATCGCATTCTGGCCGAGCATAAAGCCTGGTGTGCTCATTGTACCCCCAGAGTGGACTTGCGGTAAGCTAACAAACACCAGGTACGTCCGCGAAATGAGGCGAAGAGCCTACGCCCAACTCCTAGAGTCTTACCGCGTCGTTGGCTTGGAAAGCATGGCGAACGCCTTTGGCGTATCAGTAGAATGGCTGGACCGAGATCTCTCCAAGTTCATCCCTTCGAAAAAGCTAAACTGCACGATCGACCGTGTCAACGGCGTCATCGAGACAAATCGTCCCGACGACAAGAACCGCCAGTACCAGGACGTTGTCAAGCAGGGCGATCAGCTCCTCACGAAACTGCAGAAGTTTGGTCAGGCGGTTAGATTGCGGGGGAGTGAAAGGGCTTGAATGTGGTTGCTTGATTAGTTAGTTAGACAGCGGGGCTCTGCGTTAAGCGGTAGTGATCCTCTGGCGGTCAAAAATATTATTAAATAAATGGGGATGTGTATTGCTACTGGGTAATCCGCGGTTTTGCATTGGCGGTGGTTATGATGTGTGGGGTTACCGATTCCCGTTGTCTGTGGGTGGTTTGCGCCTGATATCTTCGATCTTGCAGGTTGAGCGCAGCGCTGTGGATCTAATATGGCATATGGATTGCTCTTCCTGCCGTCGGGATTTTGCTTCCCATGAAATCTTTATCTAGAGGGGGAACCGCATTGTAAAAATAAAAATAAAAACCCCTAGCCGGAATTGGAGATATCGTCACAGGCAGTCACTCGGGCGTAAATCCGGACTCGTGTCGAAAGTAATATCTCCATGTAGATCGTACGAATGTGTCTGGATACCCGCCGTGCCAAGTTACTTGGTGCTTCGGGGCTCGGGAATTGACGAGGGTCGTGTCGCATATGGAAACCGCTTCTTGGTGTAAGGGATGGCCCCAGGCGCGTGTATCGAGCTGGCAACCAGTGAGGAATCACTTCCCACTACCCCCCGATCCATCCTGTCCCACATATCTTTCCACGTTATACTGCCATCAATCCCCATTTCCTTGTGCACGACCTCCGACAAATTGGGGTTTGGAAAGGTATGATAACCCATCGTTTATGGAACTATGTTACACATCAAAAAGTTCATGTTCAGCTCCCCAGGAACCACCGGTAGTAATGCAATGCACGTGTAATTTTCTCAGCCATGAATATCTTACAAGCCTTTTCAACCCCAACTTTCCATCCCGCCTTTTCTGCGCTGCACTCAAGACACATGCGAACCACGTGCACCCCGCAAAACAAGTGGGAGGGCAACTGAAAGGGTTGGGAAAGAAAAAAGCTAGCCCACATCAAGAAATACGCTCCAGTTTATCAGCTGTGTAAACACTCAACCAAAAAAACCAGTCTGCCAACCTTCTGTCCAATACAAGCCATGACCAACAGATCGGCAAGATAGTGGGTAAAGTAAAGCAGAAAGACACAGGAGCCTTGGAAAGCAGAAGTGAAAAAAGGGGAAAAAAAAAGGGGGGGGAAAGCAAAAGAAAAGAAACTATAATACTCCGCGTCCACCCATCCATTACCATTGTTTTATTGTTTCCACGAAGTAGATCGACAACAGCCAATTACAATCCATGTATGCACTCAGTATCTGGGGTTATTCCATACAGCGCTACTATTCTTTGGCCGATACAACTAACCAAGTAGCCACCCGTCTAGACAGATTCTAAGGCGTCACTGGCTCTGCATATCGAATCTCATCATCGTCGCCACCAGCCCAGACACCTGGAGTTCTGGGATTTCCGTACCCGGCTGCGGGTGTTGGGGCACCCTGGTAATAGCCGCCTCTGGGATCTCTGGACCCACTGCCACCACCACCTCCGCCGCCATAACTTCCACTAGCACCGGGGGTAGGAGCAGCACCGTATGGAGCAGGAGTGGAAGCAGTCTCTGGACCGCCCCAGGCTCCACCGTAAGCGTCTCTGGGGGTTGGGGCAGAGATCGGACCGGGGGTGGGTGCGGACATGGCGCCACTGGGGGTAGGTGCGGAAATAGGGCCCCCGGGGGTGGGTGCAGAGAACTCTTTACTGCTGTAGGAGGGTGGAATGAAATCTGGAGAGCTCGCGTTGTAAGAGGCACCGGGAGTGCGGGCAGAGTAAGAGGAGTTGTTAGAGGGGTTTGCGGAGGTGGAGCTCGAGTCCATGAAGGAATCGAGATTAGGGCGGCCGGGAGTTTTAGAGCCGGCATCCCAAGTGTTACGATCGGTGTCTGGGGCATAGGGAGTACGGGAGGAGGGGTTCCAACTATTGTAATTGTTAGATATTGTAAAGCAGATGGGAGAGGATTACTTACGTAGGAGTTTTGTTTCCAGCATAGGAAGATCTACTACCGTCCATACCATACGCAGGCGTCTTGCTACCTGCAAAGTATCCGGGTGTACGACTGCCATCATTAGAACTCAACCAGGCAGGAGTCTTGTTGCCAAGATTGTATGCTGGTGTACGCGATCCCGAAAAGCCGGACTGGGGAGTTCTACTGCCGCTCCACGAAGAGGCCCTATCCGAGGATATCGAAGGTGTTCTACCATACCCCCCTCCATCCCCGCGGCCACCGGGGCGCATAAAATCTTGGTAAGACTTAATAGTACCAGTGTGAAGGCTGTATCGATTTCCAATTAGTAACGCCGCAGACGACGGGGAAAGGGAATATGGAAAACTTACTCTTTAAAACCCAACTTCGCCTTCTCGATTGTGACAATTTTGTTCTTGGTGTGCAACTCTACCCTCGCCGTAGCGTCGGTCGCATCCTTGACAATCCCGACAAGTCCCTTGTACGGTCCCTGTCTAATAGTAACCGTCTGTCCAATGGTTTTGTCTCTTCCACCGGTGCGTGGAGGCGGCATGGCAGAAGTATCCGGGGATCTTCCATTGCGTTGCATAGCGGGATTCATCTTGGTAAGATCTGGCCCAGTAGATTGGCTATTCGTAATTCTGCCCCCCTTGGCAGCGATGGTAGCGACATTGTTAGTCCTGCAGACGAAAACACCAGCATTCGAAGTCTCTTCACGATTGTGAAGGAAGGCGAAAGATCTAAAGATGTGCAAGATGACACCAGATCGGGTCTCTCCGCCAGTTTCCTTGACTGTATCACCAACGCGGATCTCAGAACCGTTTCGATCTGTGGCTACGCCAGGGCGACGGTTTGAGAGTTTGCTGGAAATCTGAGATGGCATGATTGTTCTGATGTTGCCATGTTGATCGATGATTCTAACTGACTCCCTGTCGACTTTGGTAACGCAGGCGACGGTGGTAGCACTAGGATCAATTGTCAACGGAGAGCTCGATCAAAGCCCACGCATACCATGGATACATACTCAAGTTGTACCAAATCGTGGAGATCGTATTTCCCACCAGTCTCCATGCCTCCAGATTCACTGGCTTCCCTCAAATCCTTGGAGAAAACGGTAATCTCGGTCATGCCAACATCGCTAATAAGAGTGACCCTGTCCTCATTGATCCTCAACACCATTCCAACTTCGTCTCGAAATCTGCTTCCTCCGGTAACCTTAACGTGATCTCCCGGATTGAATCGCTTCCTCAATCCTTTGAACGGAACTTCGGTGCGCTTTCCCTTTAATGGGCCTTCCAACACGTCTAATGTGACAATGTCGCCGTGAACACTAACAGCTTTCCCGACAAGACCGTTCTGCTCGCCATCATAAACCTCGACAGTATCACCGACTTGATACGTAGAAACAGTCTTCTTCAGCGACTGAGCCAACGCATGGAGATCCAAGCTCTCGGTGCCATCATCTCCTCCAGATGCAAATTTAGAAACTTCTTCCAGGGTTGGATTAACATTTTCGGTTTGAATGAGGTTCAGTTTGACGTCCTTGATGTAGTATCCGTCTTCATATTCGTCTCCGAGATAGGTGAAGACCTTCTTCAATCCCTGTGTTGATTGTGACAAATACTTTGCATGGTTCTTTCTGGCTTCGACTTCGGAGAATAATCGCTGTGGGGGGCGTCCGGCAAGTGATCCACTCTTTCCAAAGGGATTGCGCTTTCGCTTGTTACCGTTCGGGTCGTCGATATCAGCGCCGTTGCCGTAGTCCAACCTAGGCACCATCCTGATCTTAACTTCGAGGCCGCTAGCTAGGACATTTTCAACTTGGGCGAGATCGCCTTGGTATTTTCCACGTTTAAAACGGACCCATGTTCCTGGAGTGATCTCGGCTTTCTTCATAACAAAAAGAAGGTCTGGCATCTCTTTAATAGGAACAAGAATCATCTTCGTCATAGGATAGACAAAAGAAACACCCTGGAGAGCATGCATAACGTCCGCTTGCTTCTTTGCTTCGACGTAGATATACCCGGGCATGGTATTACCACGTTCAAATGCGGAGGTGATTTGTAGAGGAGCTTTCGTGTTGGCTAGTTCCTCTTGCTTCCTAAGGATTGAGAAAATGATTTCTCTCTCCTTTCCGGGCTTACACTTGACGCCCCAAATGCTCGGATCATTAACGGATGGTAGCAAGAGCCTTCTTGGAACCACCTGCGAATCCTCCATCCGTCTCCGGGCCGATCTACCATGACGTTCTTTAAACCCGGCGGCGATTTGCTCCATGTCCTCTGCTTGCTCAGCCTCATGTTTACGATCGAGCTCACGATGGCGATGGTCGTCGCGAGGGTACTGGCGGAGGTCGCTCAACTCCGGGCGATCAGCATCGTCAGCGATAAAGCCTGCTTCCGCACCATCTTCTTCGTCCTCATCGGGATCCTCTTCGTCTTCGTCGGAAACATCGGCTTCAATGTCCAGGAACTGATTGCGAGGTGGTCTACGAGCGCGCTTGCGTTGTGGCTGTCAAAGGTCGGGCATGTATGAGCAAGTTTTTACCCAAAGTCAATTGCCCGCCTAAAGAGAAACCGATCGGGGGAGCGCCCGAGTGGCGCCTTCGACAACTTACCAGGTCATCGTCATCGTCATCCTCGTCGTCCTCATCGTCCTCGTCCTCATCATCATCCTCCTCATCGTCGTCTGGTTGGCCCCCAGCGGGTGGAGCCTCATTATCAGGCTCACCCTCAGCATCTTGGTCTAGGTGGCCAGCGTCGAAATCCTGGTCGTCTTCATCGGCATCAAAGTCTTGATTGAGTAAATTAGAAGTACTCATGTTTGTATCAGGTATAGAAAGCAAGGGTAGAAGGAGCCGGGAGGAGTTGGGGAAATTTCCGAAAATAGGTGGAGAGAGCGACCTTTGCAGTTGCGGTCGTGGAGTGGTGTTGGGTGGGAGGCTTTGTGTAGAGAGGAGGGTCGATAGAGGAAGAGTGGGAAAGAGGTACAGAGAAACAAAGCTCGGGAAGCTGGTGGCGGCGGTAGGGTAACTCTCACGACCAGTTTCTTGGTCCTGGTTAATACCCGTGGGCCGTGGGATGTAGGGCTACCATCATAGTCCTACCAATGAGCAACGGGACTAGGGATTGATTTCGTATTTATACAATTAAATTTTTGTATAATACCGTATGATATAATACGGTATTTTAACTGTATAATATTATAAAATATGTATCTTATTTAGTACTAGACAATTTTTTCCACAATAATCCACAATTCTATAATAACAACTACCAGGAGATGTAAAAGTGGAAGAGGGCTTTGTGTTGGAAGGAAACTAGTTACAAATTTATGTCAATTCTGAGTATGATAACTAGTTCTTGTCAATAGTGCTATCATTTTGTGGTAGGATTTGCAAAGGTGTATCTATATAAGTGAAAATTTCACTTTAGGCAAAAGCTTACATCAAATGCCATCACAGAACTTGACAAAGGCCACTACACCAAACCCCTTGTTAGGGTGGTTAATCAGAAAATTTACTCTTTAGGGCCTATGATTCAGGGTTACTTATTTTAGTATGGTGCAATGCAGCTAAAACATGCACCTGGCTCCATGCAACACGTAACGCTTAACCCTCTAAGAAGGTTGCCCTATAAACTAAAAAAATATTAAAATTCCAATAGTCCTCTGTTCAATTCACCAGATGGTATGAATGCCATAACACTGTAAGTATATTTCACATCTCTCTTGATGTGTTTAATGGCGGGTTGGCACAACCCATTGCCAATTGGACAAAGTGCACGGAATAGTGCTCGGGGTATGGGGACTGCACCTCAGAGGATAGCGGAAAAAGGTATAGCTGGTTGCTCGGCCAGCGCGGGGTCCTAGCTCACACAGGGAGGGTCCGTGAACCCCCCTACATATACCTCTTCCAGCTCCCCAGACCATGAGATCACCATGCTTCCTCGCTTTCCACACCTCGCGTTCTTTGTTGTTTTCACAATTCTCGCTAAAAACACTCTTTGTAGCCGACTCTATATTATCTCCCAGCCTACTCCCCATCCTAGCAACAGGCATCATGGCCCCCCAGAGATCAGCAACACGAAGAGGCAGCTCTAGCGGATCTAACCCACGAAGCTCTACTGGAGGAATACGAAGAAATACACGCAGCCGCCAGCCACCCTCCCGTTACGGCCAGCAAGGCCCAGCACATGCAGTCAGAGGGAGCACACCAGCTAACGATTCGGCAACCGACAGCGATGAACCTGAACCCAGCATCCCAGAATATACCCATTCCCCCCCGAGTAATACCAGAACACTTAGCAGAAGCCCAGCCTCTCAGAACACGGTAATACCACAACCGGGCACCCAGATGACCCCTAGTGAATCCGGCACACGACACCTATCTACACCCCGATCCGACGTATCCATCAACCTATCTACCATGAGGGAACTCCTTCAATCCCACGAGCAGGATATCGTTGACCGGGTTGTTCTTCAGCTCCGTACCCAACACTCCCCCCAACTGACTATCACTTCCCCAAACCTGCCAGCTTTACACTTCCCCCCCTCCGGCACTCAGCTACTACAACCAAACCCTACTCTTACCCGAATAGCAGAACTAGAGAGTCAACTATCACAATTGCGGGCAGCAACCCATCAAGATCAGTCCCTAATAGAACCAAGACCCCTCGGTACGTCATTCCCTACCCAAACTCCAATCGCAGCGGAAGGAGAGAGCGCAAGTGGCATTGTCAACTCAGTAGAAACCCTTTTCCCAGGAGTAGAACGCAGCGCACTGGTACAGATCGTCGAGAACCGATTTAAGCCCACCAATATACACCGTCTCTTGGCAAGCGAGAAGGAGCGTGCAGAAACCCACCACACTATCAATATCGGCGGAGTTGAGTTTGAACAGATGGAACGGGAAGGGAAGGAGAGCGAATACCGGATGTGTGGATTCTTCAAGGCCTGGGCAGCCTATTGTGGAATTCTGATTAAGCTTGCACCTTATGCTCTACAAGGGGAACTTGGTACAGCTCTCTGCATCTATATGATGAATCTCTATGATCTGCTAGAAAAGTACTCCTGGGAGGAAGTGAGATCCTACCACTTCCAATTCCACCGGAAGCAGGTCGCTAGCGGAAAACATCTATACCATCCAACGGAGTGGCGCCAGCTGGATAGCCAATTGATCGCCTCTAAATGCTTTGCATACCCAGCATCATGATCCTCCTGGTCTCAAATTCACAAGCCTACACTGGGCCAAGCACACAGCAGCACAACCACCCCCATGCCTGTACCAGATCGGCGGAACAATTACAACTTCCCGACTCCAACATCTGCAAATATACCCACATCCGGTCTACCATCCCAATTCCCAATAGCACAGCCCTGCCGCAACTGGAATTACCGCGAGTGTACATCTACTGCTTGCCGTTACCAACACTCTTGCATAACTTGTAGTGGCAGCCACCGGGCATCCCAATGCATGCTCGGGAATAATGGTCGGTCATTCCCTTCCCGCAAGAACCAATTTGGACGTTAGTCTTACCTACTCCAACCAAATCCTTGTTCTCCCCCACAGTTGGGCTCCCCACATGTATCTCTCCTATTATAATATATGCAATCTCATTGCTAAGATTCCTGTACTTTAAGTAACCCCAACCTCGCCCACTCAGGGATTTATTACCAACAAAAGCCTCACCTCTGATCCGGCATCCTCACTTGTTAGCGAACAGCCCCTCTACCCAAATACCAATATCCATTACCCATTATTTACCCCTCATCACTTGCCAATGCCAGTAGGCCAACTGAAGGCTGCAGGATGGCACAGGCTTGCGGCAGGATATCCACTAAAGGAAGTTACCTCTGCTATTCAAGGAATATGCCAATTTGGAGCAAGAATCGGGTACGAGGGAGCGAGAGTGTCACCAACTATTCACCCGAATCTACCCACTGCCAAGGCAGATGCCAAACTAGTTAGCTTAGATATTGCCAAAGAACTTGCCAAGAACCGCTTTCTAGTATACCCGGACAAAGAAAGCTTACCCACACACTTCACACCATCGCCACTAGGTTTAACAGACAAGTCAGATGGCAGTAAGAGGCGGATTTACCACCTATCATACCCTGCCACTAGTACCAACTCAATAAACGGCGGAATCCCAGAGCACTATGGAACGATTTCCTATGCCAGTATTAACAACGCCACTGATGCTATTCAGGAGATGGGCAAGGACTGCATACTTATAAAGTGTGACTTTGAATCCGCTTTCCGCCATATACCAGTCTCACCAATCGATTCTCCCCTCCTGGGTTTCAAGTGGCAGAGCGCGTATTATGCTGAGTGTTTTCTCCCATTTGGGTTACGGACTGCACCATACCTGTTCAACTTGTTCGCGGAGGTCTTCCACTGGATTCTTGAAGACCAACTCAGGTTGCAAGGCCTCCGTGTAAGAATTATACACTACCTCGATGATTTTCTCATGGTTCTACCACCCCAATCCAAGCTCGAAAAGTACACCACAATATTCGCTTCTCTCTGCAATGAAGTAGGCCTTAGGATCAAGGAGTCAAAGAACGAACAGGGAACTGTTGCAAGTTTTGCAGGCATAGAATTAGATACGAAACACATGGTTATTCGACTTCCAGAGAAAAAGCTGCTCAAAGCAAAGTCTATCATCCTAGCAACTACTAAAAAGAAGTCCATCTCTCTCCTCGAACTCCAAAAAATCACCGGATACCTCAATTTTGTCGCAACTGTTGTACCCCTGGGCCGAACCTTCCTACGGCGACTCTATAATATGCAGCTCTATTTTCCCCCAGGTAGCGTACACCACAAGCGACATATATCCGGTGAGGCCCAAAAAGACCTTGCCTGGTGGGCCAAGGTGCTTTCAAATTTCCCAGAACGGTCAATAGCCTTACGAGTCCGTGAAATAATCTCTACTTGGTCCGATGCTGCAAGTACAGGAGGTATTGGTGCATACTATACTTGTCAGTCACAACCCTACCCCAACCTGGACTCGGTATTGTCAATACCATTACCGAATTCTCCCATACACTCCAGAGAACATATCAATACAAAGGAAATGCGAGCGGTAGAACAAGTACTGCTTTATTGGGTAAGTGAATGGAGGGGAGGACACGTTGTAATGCATACCGACAATCGGGCAGTGGCATATGGACTAGGAAACGGCACAATACGTGGTGCCTCAATGCAAGTTTTATGGAGGTGCCTGCTGCTGGCAACGGAATGGGACTTAGAGCTCCAGTCAGAATGGGTCTCCATGAAAGACAATGCCCTGGCTGATGCGCTCTCTCGTTTTGACTAGCATAGAGTTACTAACTTAGTACCACAGCTCTCATTCCCAGCATGCAAGCTCCCGAATCGTGGGTTACGAATATACATCAATCAGGACTATCGGTAGTTGCAGCCCACTACCTCTGGTGGGGACTTGCGCCCGCCACACGGCGCAACTACGATACATCCCGATCCCGCTTTACACTATTTTGTACACTTGCAAATTATCATCACTCACATAGTAGATGTTTTCCAGCCCGTGTTACATGGTTGATAGAGTGGTTATGCTCACTAGCGGGGACAGTAAAAGTTAAAACTTTAAAGCTATATCTGACAGGTATCAAATCATATCAACTCGACCTTGGAATTGACTGTACTGCTTTTTCAGATGCTCGCCTAGAAAGAACAATCCAGGGAATCAAGTGCGATCACAATGAACCAGCACGCCATGTACGAAGCCCTCTAACTCGTCCTCATCTTCTCCAACTACTAAGCTACCTCCGCTCATCTAGCTATGATACTGCAGTTCTCCGTGCTGCATTCACCTTGGCCTTTGCCGGCTTCCTCCGAGTCGGAGAATTTACATACCGCGAGGCAGATAGGCAACTTGGTACCTCATTCGCGAAATGGTTCATAACAAAAAAGAGTATCAAAATATCGGATAGCGGCACATATATGGAGTTGACACTCCCGGTTTCCAAGACAGACCCCTTTCAGAAGGGAATCACTCTTACTATTGCCTCAAGCCAAGACGAAGGATGCCCCATACAAGCTATGAGGCAACTCCTTGCAATAGACTCCCACTGTCCTCAATCAGCCCCACTTTTCTGCATTGGCGAATATGACCAGCGCGCCTTCACACGGGAACATGTTGTAGCAAAACTACGACAACTAGCCTCTATAGCAGGTCTTGGCCAAGACACATGGAACGGCCATTCCTTCCGTCGCGGGGCGGCAACCTGGGCTGCAGAAGCTGGAATGTTAGAGGCCGAGATCCAGATCCTTGGTCGGTGGAGATCAGACGCTTACAAGGCATATATCGAATACTCTAGTGAGGAACGAATCGCCCTTTCCAAGCGATTCCAACAGGCCCGGCCAGAGTACCAGGCACAGTAACCAGGTTCACCAGCCCGCCTCCAGATGGGAGTGAGATGTTACTACCGCACGGCAGGCTAGTATCCTCTTTCATTAGACCACCTGCCTTGAACCGGGATATATCGGCGGTAACAATCTCCCCTGGCAAGGGTAGCGGCACCAGCACCAAAGCCTCCGGCAGTAGAACAAGCAAACCTGGTATCAGCTAGGAGATAATAGTTTTGTATTTCTTTTGGCGTTCTTCATCATGGGTCTACTTTGTTCTTTCTTACCTAGTTCTCTTTAATATATGTGGTTTGGCTTTAAAAAATTGGTTAATTACTAACTGAGTTCTCTCGCATCAAGCACAGCTGCAGGGGTTCGATTAAGTAATTAGTATAGTATCTGCTAGTGCAGCATCTGCTAGCTCCATACTCTGACACGATTGGTTGCTAGTTACCTGTTCTGGATGTTAGAATTGCAGGCAGAGGATAAGTTATTCTGCATTAAAACAGGATGGATAAAATGTAATAAACTGGATGCAGGTAGGACAGAAGTGGACTACAAAGCTCTCTATCTGGTTGTTTTACATCCAAGGTTACATACATTAATATTTTAATAATATAAGTTATCTGTGAATTAAGTATAGGGCTGTGGGAAATTTTGTATTTCTTTAGTTTATAGGGTAACCTTCTTAGAGGGTTAAGCGTTACGTGTTGCATGGAGCCAGGTACATGTTTTAGCTGCATTGCACCATACAGGTATGTATCATAATTATGTATGGTATAAAGAGTAAAGTATAACACACGGTATATTATGATAATATACGTATATTTGAAATCCCTAAACGGGACCTTGTTCTTCTTAAGAGAGCTTTGGTAGGATTCCTGAAAAGTTCGCAGCATCATACAAAGTGAGACCAGAATCCAATTGGACTGAATTCTCCTTTTCTCATTTTACAGAACCAGATCCTCCTCTACAGCTAAGTTATGATACCTCGCTTTGCCGTAATCTGCACGGTTATGGAGCAATCGATATCATGGTAGGCAGGTAAACAGTTCTCGTCCACAATGCTCTTAAATCCGGATCCTATAGGCTAGAACATACGAGTACTGTAGATTGCTTAGAGAAATACAATGCCATTCCAAGATCTCATAAAGCCCACACCTATAATCTACTTTGCGATACCATGAAGTTGAGGCCACTCGCTCCCAAACACCTCCTCCAGTACTGTACCAATATAAAGGCAAGGTAGGAGCCCACAATCATTCACTTCTGGGTCGTAGGGCTCATGCACCTTCCCATCCTTATTGCAGCCAAGTATTTATCCAGCTACCCCCCATCCCTCACAGACTGTATACACCAGACTATCGCACCGGCACAGGCACACATCCACCGCACTACCATCGCGGGGTTCTGGCTGGGGAAGTGCAAAGAGAAAGAGAAGAAAGAAAGAAAGAAAAAGAGTAATGCCGGGTACAGTACTATTGATACTCAAAGCAACCCCCAAAACGCCCGTGTCCGAGTTTTAATTGGTTCTTCGGAAGAAAGGAAAGGGGGAAAAGAGAAGAGAGAAGCAAAGAGTAAGAATAAGATGGAAAAAGAGAAAGAAATAAAGAAAGGGAGAAAGAAGATACTGTAATAACGAGAGGGAAGAGATGAACAAGTAAGTAAGACTACATGACCCCACGCATGCCGAGCATTCAATTAGACTACATCCCATCCCAACCTGCGGCTGGGGCACTAAAAAGGTAAAGTTAAAAAAAAAAGAACAAAATAGGAGTGAAAGGTAGGGTGAGGTAAAGCAAACTAAAGTATATACAGCAAAATCAATCCCATCTCAAATCAAGGCCAACAATACGCTGTCATCCGCCTTTCCCACTTTTCTTTCTTCCAGTTGACTTGTCAGATTTCACTTCAGGACATCCTCCATCTCGACCATTTCGTCGTCATCGTCAATCTCGATGACCTCCTGACCAGCTTCTCCACTAGTGGATGCAGCGAGCTCCAACTTCTTCTTGTCGTCTGTATTCTTGTACTCGCTCTTGAGCGACCACTTTCCTGTGAAGGGGCCGTTGCGGTCCATTTTTGCGATCTCGTCCAGAGTTTGCTTGAGATATTGCTCTGGCTGGAATAATCTCTCGCGGATGCCGCGCATGGACCAGTATTCATGCTCTGCAAAGAGGGAGAACAGAGCTGTGAGGAGTTCTGAGTGGGGCATACGGGCAGCTTTGTTGTCGGTTGTTTTTCGCACCGCTTGTGTGGGTTTCTACGTGGCGGGGTTAGATGCCTGTATTATGGAATAGAAGAGGGACAAAGATGATAGTTTGTTTGATTATTGTACTTACAACGAAGCCAGCAAAACTCTTAGCTGTGGCACCAGTGGTGCCGGGTGCAAGGAGGTTACCGCCAGCAGCATTGGAATCGAGAACTTGAGTGGTGACTCTCGGAGCATCTGCTTGACGGAATTTGGATAGCTGGAACCGTTTATACTCTTCATTGATCATAGGAGACATGGAGCATTCGTGGCGAACGGTTCCAACTAGCGAAGTCCGCTCTATATATATGGTCAGCACCCGCGAAAGAAAGAAACCAGCCGATGACCAGGAGTCGCACTTGGAATAGCTTTCCGGACGTATGGTTGATATCTCTGCTTCCCCCAATTTCCCTTCCCACCGCCGCCTCCGCTATTGCTCTCCCGGTCACGGTGCTGGTATAACAGCCTCGCAGGAATCGCCGGTTCACCCTCCTTCACACCACCGGTATTCAACTTGCTCGAAAACCCCGGCATATCTTTCTCCGTAAAAACAAAAGTGTTGTTAACCTCCATATTGGTTATCCTCAAATCATACTCCGTAGGGATCTCATCTCCGTTCGCCTGGTTCCTCTCAAGTGAAAGTTTAAGCTGCAGTAAAGCATCACCCCCGGTCAGCCAGGAGAATCAAAGTTTGAAAAAAAAAAATGAAAAACTATTTAGATGATGGAACTGTTTTTTTCTTCCTTTTTCTTTTTTACGCACATTGCTAGTATCCTTCGGATTAACCTTCACAACACCCAACACAATCTCCTCATTATCATCAATCTCATTCCACCGTTCAGCGACAAAGCTCGGGAGCTTCACCAACCACACCGCTTTGTCCCCCTTAGACATGTCCAGGTCACCGGCGTCTTCATATAGTTCGTCATCATCTGCGTCCGAGACCTCAGCCTTGATGTCTGCGTCTTCGATCTTGATTTCTGGATTGGGCTTGATCCCTGGGCCGTTGGTCGCCATTGTTTCCCTGTGTTGGTATGGGTGTATGTGACCACCGGGAGCGTGTCCGATAGAAAAAAGGGGAGATGCGATATAGGTGTTCTTCCTCTACGTCTTAATTATCACGCGAAAAACTTGGCTTCCCTGTGAAACAAAGATGGGAGGAAGCGAACTCTTGGAGATAATCTTTGTTTGGCAAGGAGGTGAGCGATGGTGTTAGATTGTTCGTGGGGTTGGTGGGTGAGGGGGGGAAAAGATGGGGTTGATGCGGTTGGGAGGGTTGGGTTGGATTGATACTTGTGTTTGTGTTCATCATTCGGTAAGCAAGTGCCATTCTGGCAGTTTCGCGTAGCAGTTGTATTTGTCATACTTCCCCTGCTCCCCCGAGCTAGACTTCCTGGGTTTAGTTGTGATACGGTAATCGGCCCCCATCCTTATCAAGCCCCGATAACGTCACTTCATAAAAAGTCGTCATCGACAAGCTCGATTCAAACAACAAGGCCAAAAATAGACGGATCTCGGCAACTCCCCCCATACCCGTCCGGCCTTTAGATTATCATGGGGTTGGCTCTATTTTCTGCCTTGGCGGCTGGGCAATTAGTATGATATCATCGGGACTTGTGAATACTAGCCTTCAAGGAAACTCACAGAATGTCACTCGGGGTGAAACCTTTTGGATACCGGTAGCATGTGCTTGGCGGTGAACCCTTTCGGACACCATCCCCCGGGAAATATAACTTATAATACCATCTAGAATGTGAAAATAATATCCAGGTCACAACGAACAACAAAACGTTGACGCTCTTTTGCTCACTTTTTCGCCCCTCAAACAATGCAAACAAATTTTTTTTTTAAAAAAAAAAACTACCAAGAAAAGGGAAAGAATTCCTTTGAAGCTTGCTGATATCTTTTTAACTTTTTTTCTATGCTCCCCCGGCACAATGTGGATCAAGGGGTGATTCCTGGAATTCTTGACGCAACAAATCACCCAAAACATACCACTTTTTAAGCAGCAGCATATCAACACACTGAAACGCCTTCTGGTGGTAATAGGTTCTAGAATATAAAAATACGCTGTGTTTATTTATTTTAGAGTTTTTACTTTATTTTTTTGAATTTTTCTTCACAGCTTTATGGTGGGTCAGAAGCACGGTATCTATTCACAAAGGTTTCACTTTTTCGATGGTATGATATATTTCCCGGAGGATGGCATCCGAAAGGGTTTTTCATGTCACTCGGGATAGATCCCTAGTCCCCAGCGCCTATGATCCCAACTCTCCCGAACATCGGGCAAAACTAATGGCAATGTTACCATGTCATACAAACCATAGAGTTGAGGAGTGATGCCCGCCGCCGCTCCGCTAGGGGCCTTCAAGCACTTGTACGCCGCATGCCAAGAGAAAAACTAGCCCGGAGACAATTAATTAAGAGATTAATTCTTCACACACGCTTGCTCATAAAAAAAAGATCAAGCTTCCAAGCTATCATCACAGCCCTAGACTCAGGAACGGGCAGGGGAGGCTAGTATTTCCTCTACTTTGCGACCCCCTGGTCTGATCCGGGGAATGACCGAGCTGATCCTGGCCGACCTCCCGTTCCGCTCAGCCTCGGCAGCGGCCACCGGAATCTCGGAATTTTCACTAGGCCGAAGGCGACGCAGGATCCGAACACCACAAGCGCCAGGACAACGGCGCTGGAGACCCCTATAGCAGCTATTTTCCCACTTGACAGATTTGGTGGTGGGGGGGGGGCCGGGGGCGGGGCCCTAGTGTAATGAAACGCATCACGTAGGCTATCGTCTGCCCAACCGCTGTGCGGATCCACACGGTTAAGGTGAAATTCTGCGTTCTTTCGCACGATTTCTGGTGTTTTGTAAACTGTTCCAGGGGTGTAATGTGAACTCCACTGATGACGATATTATTATGTTTGCTCCCAATTGAATTGAATGATACTCACAGTCACTTGGTTCATATCTAGCACTTTAATCAGTTCAGAATCACAGGGAGCATCTTTCTCCACTTGCGCAGACGGTGGATAACCGCCAATTATCAATAATTGACTGCCAACCGCATTGCAAGTGTGAGAGCGCATTCTGACCATACTGTCAGGAACCTCAACTCGGGTCCAGCTGAGATGTTGTCAAAAATCAGTTTTGAAACAACGCCCAACTGGGGAAAGGAAACGGACATAAAACTTGGCATGGTCAAAACCCAGGCGTCCGGAGCAGCTTCTCCAAGTGGTTCCATTAACATCCCACCATGGACCCAAAGTCTGTTTGATTTCTGAAAGTTAAAAATTGAAATCTTGAGGATTGGGAATGGTGAGTATACTCCCAAGTTTTTGTTTCATCACTATAAACTGTTTGCCCACAGAATCTTGTTCTGGTAATTGGAGCCTCCCCTTTGTAAAAGGTTGTGGATTGGTTTATCCACTTTTTGCCATCAAGGTCATAGAGCATCACATATTCGAACGAAAGCTGTGTCCTTATTTCAGAAAGAGATGCGGCGAATCTCAGAGGGATATAAAACATACGCCAGAGCCATGTTCATCATTGATACCAGGCTTGTCCTCGATTGGAACTCCACCGGGGGCTGTCTCAGCCATGAGGGCGATCAAGAATCCAGCCTTCTCTCCAATTTCAAGATGGTTGGCTGACCCGTGCCAGTAGGCCATTCCTGGCTCACCGAATGTCTCGTTTGTCAGGGTGCCGGTTTTATGGTCGTAGACGAGCATTCCAGATTGTGGAACTGCTAATCGTTCGAAGGAGTCGTTTGACGCACGTGGAGTCCAGAGACCTCTGGACTTCAAATCAGCTTACTATCTGAGAAGCAGGTTTGTGACAAACCCAATATAGTAGCTCTTGTCCGTCCTTGGAACAGAAACGGCCGCACCGCCAAATGCACGTTTGAAACGACGCATCTCATCCGGCAGTGCAATCTCTGTCCAAATTAAAGTCTTGAGGTCGTACTTCCAGATCGTGTAAGGGGGAATATCCTTCTTTTCGACCCAGTAAGAAGAATTTCGCCAATCGTCAGCGTCATAAAAATGTCCCCCTTGCATCACAACCCAATCCTGATTTGATCCTTTCCAGAGGCCGAAGCGGTTGACCACTGGAACCCCCAATGGTTTCTTTGGTTGGGAGATTGGAATGAAATCCCGAGAGGAGAAGGATTTGCTGAGGTCGATGACAACAGTTCGGGGATCTCAATCTGTGTGAGCGACTGTGAAGTCAGAACCGGGGAAAAATGAAACTCACTGAGTTCAAGAACTTCAATGTTTTCGCCGTTCCAATTGTGCCTGAATTTTGCGAGGCCTCCATCAAAGATGAGCAGGTCTTTTCCCTGAGAATTGACAACAATGCCTTCACATTTCAAATGAGAAGCGGTCCCTCAGTGATCAGAAGAAGGAGTCAAACTTTCATGTGCCAGGAGGCGGCATCGGGAATCAGGCTTCCAATCCCACGTTTGTTTATTGATGTCAGGTTCGACCGTCTTCGCGCCCAACCTCTGAATGGTCTTATTTGTCTGCGCCAGCGCCAGTGAGGAGACCCAAAAAGCCGCCCATAGGGCACGAATGAAAATCATTGCTTGTGATCGCAGCGCCGATATCTGGTTCCCAAGAATGGCGCCCAGATTTTTCGTGGACAATGGGCGCAGATATATCGGGGCGATAGTCTCCCAAGATGAGAGCAGAAGCCTCAACTCCTCACATTTAAAACCAACCTCCCGTTTCGGCACCTCTGGGTGGCGAAAAAGCAAATTAAAAGGGTGCTGCCGGACCCCTCACGTGGGTGTGGAGTGGGGGGTAGTTTTTGGCTACAGCCTGACAACCACAACTTCAGCCCCAGGGTTAGACTACTGGTCTCTGGTCATTTCACCAACGCCGAGTGAGGGGAAAGCCTCAAGTGGCGTTTTTCTTGCTGATTCTTCCCAATCATACCAGTTATTATTGTCCCAATTTCTTGGATTCTGGCGTCGCAAAGTTGACGCCCGCTGACCCGAGTGACTGCTGATGATGATGATGGACAACCATTCAGCCGTCGATGGCGGGGCAGGGTTTCACAAGGAATTTCCCGTCAAGGCTGAGAATATGATACCGGTAGTAGGATAATATCGCAAAAACACCCATCACGCCTTACACGAACCGTACCGAGCCGGTCGGAGATTGGGAACTGGACCTTGCACCCAACACCCCCCACCCCACACCTCGAGTTCAGCCACGCCGCGGAGAACCCTCTGTTGTACGAATACGGTGTGATACTCTTGATTCTGAGGCCCCGACCTCAACTCTGCATTCCCACACGGCATACCCAGAGAGAGTGCAAAGTGGGTGTCCGGGCGATAAAACGAGCATAGCCATGGCCCAAAGTGTGTCCACGGCCAATTACGACTAAGTCCCGAAATAATGCTCTCCGTAGTTTGTGCATCATGTTTGTGCAGATGAGACCTCTGAATACCTCTAGAAACTGGTGTCATTCTCATTTACTGTTCCCGGATGCTATTGTTAACGACCATCCACAACCGAGCAATATAGTCCCAGCAAGGCACCCGAATGGCGATGAAATCACACGCCGTGAATAAGATACGAGGTGTAAATTTAATGAAACGGAAAACAGATGCAAGGGTCATGCACTCGTCTTCTTCCGACGTCTGTGAATAAAACCACCATCCCATACGGTACCACAGAAATCTTGAGGCTCAAACTGATCTTTTCCCCAAACGTAATGGCAGCCGTGCCCGCGAATGTTAGAGGATCGCCAGGAGGGGTGTGAGGAAGGCGGCAATTCTCTCGAGTTGGTGAATGGAGGTGCTTGACCGTAGCGCGATATCTGCGAAGGTCCAAATCCGGATAGCAACCACAGTGCTGTTGCAATTTAGACTATCCCTGTCCACCACTCGTCACAGAGAGACTTCAGCCTGACCTAATTAGGGAGCTGTAAAATATACACACCGTTACCCGGGTTCCCACGGCTGATCCCTAGTCCACAGGGTTTAAACTAAGTCGCCCAACATCAAGAAAAACTGAAGGCTAAATTGTTCTACTGTACGAGTACAAACTAGAAAGTTGTCGAAGCAACAGCTGCCACCGGCCCCTAAGAGCTTGTGAGGAGCGATACATCACATGTTGACAGAGGTACTAGTCTAAAGGCAATTAATCAATTTATTCACTCTTTAGCGCTTCAGACAGTTATAGAAACGCTCCACACCCCAGGTCGTCACCACAACCTTAAACTCAGAGGTCGACAGGCTAGGCGAGTGGGGCCACCGGGTTTGAAATACCGGTAGGTGGGAATGGTCGATTCTCCTCAGGAATTACCGGTCCCTCTATTATGATCACCCTAGAGGGGTCCTGCTTCCACGACAGCCACGGAAGTTTCAGAAGTGGCTTGCCGATGAAGGAACATATGCAGAGTGCCAGAAGTATCAAGACAATGACACCAGAGACCACTATTCCAGCTATTTCTCCCCTTGACAATATTGGTGGGGTCGAGCCCCCAATACTGATATGAAATGCATCACGAAGCCTATCGTCCGCCCAACCGCTGTGTGGATCCACACGTTTAAGATGGAATTCTGCTTTCTTTCGCACGAGCTCTGGCGTTCTGTAAACTGTTCCAGGGGTGTAGTGTGAACTCCACTGACCATGATGTTATTATGATTGTTTCCAATTGAATTCATGGTGGAATCTACTGACAGTCATTTGGTTCATATCAAGCACTTTAATGATTTCGGAATCGCAGGGTGCGTCTTTCTCCACTTTCGCAGATGATGGATAACCACCAATTATCAATAACTGGCTGCCAACCGCATTGCAACTGTGAGAGCGCATTCTGACCAAACTGTCAGGAATCTCAACCCGGGCCCATCTGCAGTGTCGTCAGAAATTAGCTTTGAAACAACGCTCAATCGGGGAAAGGAAGCGAACATAAAACTTGGCATAGTCAAAACCCAGGCGTCCGGAGCAGCTTCTCCAAGCGGGTTCATTAACATCCCACCATGGACCCAAAGTCTGGATGATTTTCAAAGGTTAGATTAGGTGATAGCCCTGAGGATTAGGGACGGGGGGCATACTCCCAGGTTTTGGTCTCATCGCTGTAGACCGTTTGCCCACAGAATCTTGTTCTGGCAACAGGAACTTCCCCATTGTAAAAGGTGGTGGATTGATTTATCCACTTTTTATGATCAAGATCATAGAGCATGATATATTCGAACGAAAGCTGGGAGGATTTTTTTTTTTTTTTCAGAAAAGGAATCAGCCAATTTCAGGAGAACAGAGAACCTACACTGGAGCCATGTTCATCATTGACACCGGGCTTGTCCTCGATTGGAACTCCACCGGGGGCTGTCTCAGCCATGAGGGCGATCAAAAATCCAGCCGACTCAGGTTTCCCAATTTTAAGATGGTTTACTGATCCATGCCAGTAGGCCATTCCTGGCTCACCAAATGACTCATTTGTCAGTGTGTTCGTTTTATGGTCGAAGACAAGCATCCCAGACTGTGGAATTGCTGATGCATTCATGGAGTCCCTTGATGCACGTGGAGTCCAGATTCCTCTTCACCTCAAATCAGTTGACTTTCTGAGAAGCAGGCAAGTGACAAACCCAATATAGTAACTCTTGTCCGTCCATGGAACGGAAACGGCCGCACCACCAAATGCGCGTTTGAACCTGCTTTCGCTATCATTGGTCGGGAGGCGATTTTCTGTCCATGTGAAAGTTTTGAGGTCATACTTCCAGATGGTATACAGGGGGATATCCTTCTTTTCGAGCCAGTAAGATGAATTTCGCCAATCTTCAGCATCATAGAAGTGTCCACCCTGCATAAAAATCCAATCCTGATTTGAACCTTTCCAGAGACTAAAACAGTTTACCACTGGAACTCCCAATGGCTTCTTAAATTCGGATCTTGGAATGAAATCACGGGAGGTGAAGGGTTCACTAAGATCAATGATAACCGTTCGAGGATCTTTCTCCATGTGAGCTTTTGGAAAATCACGGCCGGGGAAAAATGAAACTCACTCAATTCCAGAACCTCAATCTTTTCGCCGTTCAAATTGTGCTTGAATTTTGCCATGCCTCCATCAAAGATGAGCAGGTCTTTTCCCTCATGCTTGACAACAATACCTTTATTTTCGAAATGAGAACCAGTCTCCCAGTGAAGGGAAGAAGGGGGGCAAACTTGCATGCGCCAACAGGCGGCATCGGGAATTTGGTCCCCAATTCCACGTTTGCTTTTCAATGTCGGGTTCAGCTGTCTTTGCGCCGAATATCCGAATGCTCCCGTTCGTTTGCGCAAGCACGAGTGAAGAAATCCAAGAGACCGTCCAGAGGGCACGAGTGAGAAACATCGCTTGTGATCACAACACCGAAATCTGATTCTCAAGCACAATCCCTCGATTTCTCCGGGGCAAACGGTCCAGAAATACCAAAGCAAAGGGAGACCAATTTGATCTGATCACAAATCCACATGTTGCTTCCGCAAGGAAAACTGATTTCATTTTTTGAATGGGACAGTTCGAGGACGAAAAAACAAGCAATTGGGGCGTTGCTGCACGCCTCATGTGAGTGCTGTGGATCGTTGTTGGCGGTTGCCTGATTCCAAAACCAGCCCAAATTTTCTGGTTCTTGGTGCACCTTGCCGGACTTCGCCAACACGTTGAGGGGAATGCCTGGAATGGCGTTTTAGTCGCAGATCGTTCCCAAAGGGGTTGGAGTTTCTCCCACGTAATATCAGATTTCTGGGTTGAAAAGCAGGTACGAGTGATTGCGGATGATCATGTTGCGATAACGACCTGTGAAGGAGGGTTTACGAGTGTGACGGATATTTCCATGCAGGCTGATGATTGGATAATAAAATAAAGACATCCATGGTATCTAAAAATGGGTTTCCGGTATCGCTCCAAGACCGAGAATGAGACATCGTGTCTCGTACCGCACTCTTCGAGCTCTATCGTGGATGCGCCTGATTTGCCTTCCCACAATGTCATGAGCATACATAGGGTGTGTCAGGTGGAACGTGTTCGGGCCATGGATGGAGCACAGCGATGGCGTAAAGTGTGCCTACCGCCTTTTGAGGAATAACAATTGACTTAAGCCCCGAACCAAAGCTTTCTGTTTCTCCGCGCTGGGGATCCCTCTGGTTATCAGACATGTCCTGGACCACTGGATACCACCTCCGGAGTCATCCATAGTGCGCATTCCTCGATAGTCGTCTATGGGGACCGGCTGATGTTCCCCGATCTTCTCTTAACCGAGCAGCGAGCGAGGGAGTCAGCGTGCCCCGAGCGGTGGTAAATCCCACACCGTGAATAAGAAATGAAGAGTAGCAGAACGGGAGACTCCGGTGGAGGCGTTACTGCCGGGACCTAGATAAGATGATGGTTACCGTATGGGGGGTTCCGAAGGAGTAATTCCGAATTGATGAATGGAGATGCTTCCCCAGAACATGTGCAAAAGCCCAAATCCGGCTTGCAGTTGTAGTCTTGTTGTACCGGTAGTCTACCGTCTTTTGTTCGAGTCGCTCACTGCTCTCTGTTCGGCGATCGACGATAGTACGGTACCGGTACGGCCTGATTAGGGCGCAGCAAAATACACAAATTGTCACTCGAGATCTCAAGCACGAGTTACGGTAGGATTGCTTCCCATCAACAATACTTAACCGTGGACCCTGTCGATAGGTACGCAAAAAAAACCAAAACATAATAGGATTGCCCCAAATTGATATATCTAGAAATACATTGAATCACAAGGGTAAGGAACCCCCCCCCCCCCCCCCCCCTCCATGCCATCTAACCATTATGCGTTCTCCCGACAATTCAAACCATCCAACGAAAACCGGCCGTTCCTTCTATTCAATATTAAGAATGAACACCACCTTCTATCCCCACCTAACCAAAGGTTTATCCCAAAACATTCTTCTGTTCGCCACCTTTCTTCTTCTTCTTCTTTTTCTCAACCCTTCCATCCTTAACCCCTTTCTTCCCGCCCATGACAACCGGCTTGATCTCCGTATTGCTCCTCTTTAACAGCACCGGATGGCTACCAATATATTTCCCATTCATCTCCCTCGCCGCGCGAAAGTACTCATCTCCGTCGCTGAAAGCCACAAACCCATATCCCTTGCTCTTCGTGGTGCGCTTGTCTCTGATAACCCTGGCCTTCTGTACGCTGGGGTACTTTGAGAACGCCTTGAGCAGTGAATCGTCCGTGACCTCGCCAGCAAGATTACCAACGAATAGTCGGAAGTGCGAGGGGTCCCACTCTAGTAGAGATGAGTCTGTCCAGGACTGGCCACCACCCTGGCGAACGACAGTTGGTGCGTTCTTCGGCTTGCTGAGCGGCGCCACCGGATACTCGCTGCCTTCTGCTTTTGAAACGGCGGGAGCGGTGGTGGTATTACCAGAAGCGCGGGTGGAGGGGTCGTATATGCTTTGCTGTTGGGCTATCTGGGCTTGCAGCTCCGGGTCCAGATCCGCATATCTCGGGTCTGCACGGCGGTTGAATGATTGTTGTGGCAGCGGAAATGGATTGACAATGTGCGGCGCTCCTGACGGTGCAGGTGCTGGGTATTGTTGGGCGGGGGGTTGATAAGCGGGTGGGTATTGTTGGGGGTATGGCTGATTGTATTGGGGTGGTTGAGAATATCCCGTTGGTGGTGCAGCGACTTGTCTGGGACGGAAACCTGAGAAAGCTGGTGGGGCCGTGCTCTGCGGAATTGAGGGCGGCGGGGGGCGAGGAGGGAGAGAGGAGGATGTCCCCGGCGGAGGTGGATATGACATTGTTTCGATAGTTCGTGGTGGTAGTGGAAGTGTCGCTTGTTCGGTGATGGAGCTTGTTGCTCAAAAGTCTCAGCGGCGTTGGACGCCCATGTCTTGGCATAGGGTGCTGGCGCCTGCTGGAGATTATTGGTCACGTGGTTCAAGATACAGTACTCGAGTACGGTTACAGGACGAGTGCTCCCTGGTGTCTTTCTCCGCAGAGTTATGCGAGTGATTAGGGTGAACCACGGGGGAGAAGGGGGTTGCTTCCGTAAGACCACGCTTTCTCGCCCGCTGACCTTCCGCCAATCTGAAAGAAAGCGGCCTCCGGTAAGCCCAGCCAATTATCCCTCGATTACCCCATTATAGCACTTGTATGGTGCCGGTATCACACAATCCGTCACCACCCCCACTTCGCATTCGTACTCAGGAATTCGCACTTCAGTCACTCCGTGGAGGTATCGCACTCAGTGCCACATCCCTTAAAGCAACACCATACAAGGACTGTTATTACTCGTCCAAACTGCCGGCGCCTCCATCAATTGTGATATGTTTCTCTCAAGTGCATGGTCCTGGAAATGATTGAGATCGCACAATTCTGGTTTACTTTACCAGGAGTCCTCCCAATGAGCAATAGCATAAGTTATCCCCTCGGTTGGATATCGCCATAAAAATGTTTGGGCTCACTTATCCCTCATACTCCGCCCGGAAAAATTGTCTCTCGAAAAACTTTCCGGACGTTTTCAGTGTGGACGCATCGCGTACGGGTGATCGGGATTAAGAAGAAGGCATATGACTGGCCGTAAGGGTGTGATTTGCGACGGTCTTTTCTTTCCATATCGGGCCTTGGTTTGGTGAGATATCGCAGCGGCAGCGCACCCATATCGTGGCCAGGGGATCCACGTAATATCACAACATTTTTGCGATGGTGATACTTTTTATCTATCAACTACCGCAAAAACTCGCCAAACTCGCTATGCAGGGATGAGAATTTTGGCACTAATATGTGGCGATACAGCCAAGATGGTTCCAGTGACCAACCTATTTTCTCTTAGCTGATGAGACCAGCATCATTATTACAGTATTTTATGTAGGAACCGGCACCGATATACAGCTATTCTCAGGTGTTATTGTCATTTTCCGTCATTTCTCACGGTAAGAAAGCTCCTATCCAATCCCTAGCGCCACTACCTGCATAGCGAGTTTGGCGGGTTTTTGCGGTATGGCACTTGCATATCATATCATGCGTCATTCCCTTCCCATGAATTGAATGGCATGTTTAATTCTCAGTTCGGACTACCAGTGCCAATTACAAAAAAAAAAGAAAAAAAAAAGAACTCAAGCGGTATGTGTGGTAGTGACATGTTGCTAGCTAGTTTGAACATGTTAAGTAGAGTGTAAAGTGGAGTCGTTTAGTTATCCCGTGCACGACCTTTTTTATTTTATTTTTAAATGCCGGCTGATACCGGTATTTTTTTGGGGGAAAGTAGAACTGGCCACCCATCCATCGAAACTCCTCTAACCCCGCAGAGACAAAACTGGAATGGTACGTGTCTAACAAAGGAAAAGGAAAATAGCAAGCTTAAACCCAGTTAGTCCGAGTTTGGTAAGCAAAGAGGCGGAGACGGAGAAAGAAACGGCACGGGGGAACCGAAAGAATTATGGAGAAAACAATAATAATCATGGGGCATGCATGGCTATTGCCCAAGGCCGGTTATTAACGGCGCTTCAATCAATGACGATTGGCTCGTCCTGTCTTCCTCTCCCATGAAATCTCTGTTTGCTCTTCCGGGAGTACGATGGCCCACCAGGATTATTGCCACGAGAAGTCTTCTTGTTGGGCGCTGGGCCGTTCGCGGGGCTCGAGTCGGTAGGCTGCTGAACTGGGTTGGGCGTTTGCGTGACGAAAGGCGTAGTCCCGCCCCACTGTCTCTCTTCCATCAGAATGTCCTCAAGTGGTCCAATCCGATCCATGTAGACCTTCTTCATCAGCCAACGCTGTTCTTCGATTTTCCCGTAGTTACCTCCAAGGATGACGCCCAGCAAACTTCTGTTTTGCCTATCGACGAATTGCAATGTCTCAAATTTCTTCATCTGGCCGGCGAGATCGTCGAGGGCTTCCGCCCAGAGGGTCAGTATCATCTTGATGTGGTAACTGCTCCGCGAGATGTCGTTCTCCGCATTGTTCGGGTCCTGGATGCATAGGAGATCGGTCTGCGGCGGCGTTGCTCCCCTCTGGATCACGGGAAATACATCGTTCTTGCGGAAGTAGGAGGGTTTCCTGGAATCCACACATATGCCTAGGGTCTCGGTATTGAAGTTTTTACCATACAGCTCCAGAAATTCAAGTAGCATGATCCCCAGGTGCCTCCGAGGGTCCATCCCTCCACTGGCTGCGCCAGGGTGCATTTGAAGCATGCTTACGATGAGGCAGGTGACCGAAAAACTGCCCAATCCCCCAAGATATACTTCATTAAGACCACGCATCGCAAGAAACTGTTTGATGACCGTAAGTAATATCGGCATCGCGGGGAACTGAGTTTTCCATTTAATAAATGTCTCATTGGCCACCAAGCCTGAAGAGTTCTCAAACGAGATATCGACATGGATATTCGTTTCGCGATCCACAAACTTGATGATTGGCACCTTTGCATTGGCAATCACCACCAAACTTCCGGGTTTTGCGGTGTTAGAAGCGAGAAGCGCTTGCCTAAGCTTGTAGAGCGCATTCTTTTCTGAATAACGAGGTATGCCGATCTTCGCAAAGGAAGTAGATATGACAACTAGGTCGATATCACTTGTTGGTAGATACAGCTCCGCTGCAAACGACCCGAAGACCCGGAGATCGGTATCGGGCCAAAGTTTAGTAACCACAGCTCGTATGCGATGGACCAACTCTCTTCTAACGGCATGTTCGTAGGCACGCGGTTGGATGTAAGCAATAAAGTCAAGGATCTCGTTGTGAAGCCTAAAGATAGCGCAAAAGGAGTTAGATTCTTTCTTACTTTCTGTTGGGATCGGTCAATGAAAGATATAATTTCATGTATAAATTTGGTGATACTCACCAATTGGACATACTCAGAGATCTCGAGTGATCGCTTCCCATCTTGGTCCAAGGACACGGCTCAGACCTTGGGGTGGCCATGTACTCATGAGTGATATTGCCATCGATGATGGTTTTACCGCGACTCATTTCAGAATAGTTTCTCTTTCTGCTTTTGGGTATGTCTAATCGGCCGTCATATCCCTTGTTCTGCATCGCGGGATTACCTGATGTGTTGAGGGATGTGCGTTTAGACTGGGGGGCGTTAGGAAGACTGGAAGGGCCTCCACTGTTAGATTGCTGGACTGAGCGGTTACGGGGTTGTAGGTGTGGATACTGCGGCTGGGGAGGGGGTGTAGGTTTGCGATAGGTCAAAGGGCGGGGTGGTAAACCTGGCGGTCCTGTGTCCCTGGGCGGCCCAAAATGATTAAACCTGTGAGAGAAGCTTGGTTCATCATGGTTATCCTTGCCATTCACCTTCCTTCTCTTGTGGTTGGAATCCTCATCATCTTGGTCCAAGTGAATAGGCTCGTCACCAAAAGAAAGCGAGATAAAATCATCATTGTCTTGAACAGGATTTTTAGGTTTTCCCACAGAGGTTCTGGTTTTAAAAGAACGGATCAGAGAAATTACATCTGGCTTCCTTTCTCCGTCTACTGCTTCTTCCACGGCTGTAACGGCCTTTGCAGCGGCCAATTCCGGGTTTTCATCGTCTGACATGTCCATCTCAACTCCATCGCCAGCGCCAGCTGCATCGCATATGTTTTCACCAACGCCATCAGCTGATCCGTCAGGGGCGGATAAGAACTCCCCCCCTGTAATCATTCCCGGCAGCAAATCAGGGGTTTTCTCGCGGGCATTGAATGATAAGATTGGCCTCTCATGAGCCGGGACGGGAGTCCACTTTTGTGGTTTCGGCTGCTGTTTCGTCTTCTGGCGCTTCCCGGTTTTGGACCCTTTGGATTCTTTCGGATGTCGAGAGGGGCCCCGGTTGTCATCTTGTGTACAATCGCCCGGTCTATAGCTGTCTGTCTCGGTTGGCATCTGGCGCTGATGTTGATATGTGAATTCATGATTGGGATTATTCGGATCGCCGCGTCCGGTAAAACGGTGGAAATCATCGACCCTGCGGTCACGAGCTCGGTCGCCCATGTTGGAATTTTGTAAAGGGGCAGTACGATTTTGGACCTGCGTTAGAGAGGAGAGATTGAGTTCGGCAAACTTCTACCAGACAAGCACTACCGGTAGTGCGGAAGGAGAGTTTAAGGTTGAAGTGTAGGATTGCGGGAAGGAATTCATTCGCCCGAGAGGGAGCAAACTGAAGGGACGGGATGCGGCTCGCTAGGATTAGAAGGACCTTAAGTTGAACCTGGTGTGAAGAGGGGGAGGGAAGCAAGGGAGTTTTTTTTTCTTTTTCCCCTCTCTCCTCTCTTCGTTTGTGTCGAAGTGACGCTGGGGTGAGGGTTTGGCGGGGACGTTTGGGATGTTACGGGAGGCGGGAGCTTGTTCAAGAAAACTTGGGCTCTCGACGCGCATGACTGCGCCAAGATATCTCTCTTATCTGATGTTCTAGGATCAATCACAGCAGCTTTAGTCTAGACCGCAAGATAATCTACGAGTACTCGAGTACTCGAGTACGGCAGTTGATCGCAAGGAAATGGCTTAGTAAGAATCGTACTGGAAATGACATTATTTGCTAGATTCGTCTTTGGGGAAACCGATGATGCACTGTGCTGTAACTTGCTCGAGTACGAGATACTGTACCCGAGTACCGTACTCGAGTACATACACCAACGCCACAGACTGTCTTCTGGGCCACAAAAACCTCCTCGCCGAAAAAAAAACCCCGGGGCCGAAACACGAAACCTTTCCTGTAACTTGCCTGGTAAATTGTGTGTATACAATTGGGCACCGAACAATATACTGGTATGAAATATTTACCGATGTATCGCTTCCTTAATCCGGACGAGCCCCAGCCTGATTTCTAAGGGTGCTGGGCGGTCTGCACGAGCAATCTCCTACAATACCGTTATTATAATACCATAGCCATGGGCTTGCTGACCTTATCGGATTAAAGGATGAGAGTTGACTGCAGTTGCTAGCCGAATCCCTCCTTCTGGAACTCCCATTTCAGGAGTCAAGAGCCCACGATAGCTCATTGGGCCGGGCGGTGAACTAGGAGTGGAAGCGTATCACTTCTTTCCATGCTACTCGAAATTTGCCCAGGACCTCGCTGAGGAATTTTCGGGCGAACGAAGGGGGAAGGAGAGGTCCTCTGAATTCGGCTAAGGGGAGAGAAAAGTGAACATTTTTGTGCTATCAGACCTGACTATTTCTACCGTATTTGGATATCCTCCCGCTACTTTTCGGACTTCCAGAGGGGTATTCGGTTTTCTGCTCTTCGAGCGTACCTTGGCGACCGGCCCAACACACTGGTCTTCTCCTTGTGAGTACTAGGATATACGCAAGGTGTGTTCGTAATCTACGTATGATGAGGGAGAACACAACCGTGAACACGCTATGGGCAACGCTCGGCCTATGTTTGGGGGGGGGGGGGACCATCACAGCCCCTGTTTTCTCGGCCCCTTGAATTTTTAGCAGAGGTCTGGTGTTCCCAGCGTGAAGGAGGATTATCTTCTATTTTTTCTATCGAGGCCAATCTCGGGTTGAAGTTTCGATAACTCTTGGAGAATGTCTGGAGAGCGCAAGGAACCCATACTACCCTTTTTGGGTGGACGGGCGTCTATCCCTCGTCGGAAATGCGCTTCTCACCCCGTGTTTCCACCGGGCAAGTCTGCCGGTAGGCCTGCAAGGGACATTCTGGGGAGTGTGACACCCGATCCTCGTTTACGGAACGGTGGCTTCCAAAAGGCAGCGTCGGCCTCGGAGCAACGGCATGGGGTGGGCCTGCTATCCCGAGATAATTCACCTGGGCCAGGGGGCCTTCATATCCATGAGGATCCCGTGACAAATTCACCCCAGGATCTATCAGCGCCAAAATCCTTGGTTTCTGTGCGGTCTATGCCGGTGATTCCAGTTGAACGGGGCCGCCTGGGCAGATACAGCAAGGATGAATATATTCCTGCATCCTATACGGTTCCGAAGAAGACAGGCCAGTCGTCTCTGCCTCAACCGCCCCTCGTTGCTGATTCGGACCCAAAACAACCAGGCAGACGATCCGTTTTGAGAAAACCCGTTCCAACACAGAAGGGAGATAGCCTGGTTGTTCCGGAGAGCGATACGAGTAGTCCTCCTATGCAATTGATGAAAGATACCTGTACATCTTCTGATGAATGCACGTCCTCGAGTGTTTCTTTTCAGAGTGTTGTCTCAGATGAGGTGACAACCTTAGATATTGCGCCATCGAGTGAGCCGGAGGAGGATGGGAGGTCTATGGAAGCAACCAAATACCGAATGAGTGATCCCAGGCCAATCACAAAAGCGGAGGAGATCGAGTTCGATGAGGCTCTCTTGGTTTCCCATGGCCATCCGCCCAGAGCCTCGCCGAGTTTGAAACCTTTGGACCTCGGACTTTCTCTTAATACCGATATCGAGAAGGGCATCGTGAATGATCCGGATCCATCATTTCATCGAGCTGTTGGGTCTCCGGGGGGGCCTGTAAAAGAGGCTATTGTGGAGCAAGTGGGATCGGCCTTTTATATCAATAACTTGAAAAACGATTCACTGGGGAGACTGCCTCAGATAACCGCGTTGGAACGGAGTCCCTCAGAGCATGAATTGCCAGAGCTGGTAGCGATACAGGAATCCTCGCCAGAAGGCTATAGATTCCGGAGATCCGAAACTTTCAGTTCCAACTCTTCAAATGAAACCATCCGCCCAGGAGTGAGAAGTGTCGTCATTCTCCCCGGGGAGTCCGACCGCCGCTATCACAGCAACTGCCGCCGTCGATCCCACCGTGGGATGGATACTTGTTCTGCTGCAAGCATAAAACTTGAAGGTGAAGGAAGTGTTTCGCCTCCCCATGCACGTCGCCGAGGTGTTGTGCCCGAAGGACCAAGCCGTCCTCCCGCTTCACCTAAAACTCCGGCTGCCACCACTTCGCCCGCCGCAGCGTGGGTTAGGGCGGCCAGCGAAGAACTCTCCTCTCCTGGATTATCTCTTCCGAGAAAAGAAAAGGGTAGTGTTGTATTAGAAAGGAAGCCCTTTCCACCGGGGCAAGGCGGGAGAAATCCTCAAGGAATACATCCAGCCCCGCCGATTAAAACCACGATTTTGTGCTATGCAAATGTCCTCCCGGAGCAACCCAGGGTCCCAACACCGGTTCTCCTAGTTAGTGGTGGGGATATTGGTCAACAAGATAGCCCTTCTGAGAGTACTGGATTCTCGTCTGTACGATGTTCACCCGTTCCCGAGGCATCCTCCACGTTGCGCGCGAGCCGTTGTGCAAGTGGATCCAAGGGTTCCAAGAGTTTGAGAAGTGTTAAAGCTTTACTGTTAAATGAGGGCATTCAGTTGGGGGAAGATGATGCAAGGTCTGGGAATGGTGTGCCTCGGACTTTCGCGCGAGACTAGGTCATTAAGGATTGTTCAATCCTAGGTTCTTGGCAGGGTCCCCAGTGGCACCTTATGAGCGATAGCAGTTATGGGATTCGTCCTTGATAAGAAGGTTGCAAAGGATTTGTCACCTTTCGATGTTCTGGTTATACGATCACAGGCAACAACTATCCTTGATCGGTAGACACTGTGGAGGTAATGAGAAGGGGGATTACAGGCATTGGTTGTCATTCGATTGAGTAATTAGGAGTTTTGTGAAATGACCGAAATTACAGGTTATCGAACGACCTTTTCTCACGGCAAGTGAGGAGTATGGAGTCCTCATCCGGAGTCGAACAACCCAGACAATCTCCCGTCCGCTTGGACAATATTTTCCTCCAACTCGGTCATCTCCGCCTCCCTCTTCTCTGCTGCCATCACAGCCCTTAGAATACTAACAATCTTCTTCAACCTATCAACCACCTCAACTCCCCCCTTCCCCTCACCTTTCCCGCAAACTGCCCCATAACAGCTCGTTATAGCCTTCAACATCTCAGGAACGTACCCACAAATTCTGACCCAGCAAGCCCCTACCACAGCCTCTACAGCATCTAGCGTGGCGGCTAACAAACCCCGGGCAAGCCCAACAAACGGATCGCCCAAAATAGTGCCGAAAATCTGAACCAGATTGCCCAAATGCCTCGCCGCGTAAACCCTCATTTCCACCGCCAGTGCGGATATTTGACGCATGAGCTCCTCTGCGATCTGTGTATTCTCACCGGCAAAAGTGAAGCCCCGGACAATGCCATTGCGAAATATCGCATCCAGCTGCTCCGCCCGGGGGCGGTTATCCGTGGTGGATATCCGAGCGAGGGTTCTCAAGACTTGGTATGTTGCGCGTAGCAACGGCACCGAATACCTTGTCGGGGTCAAAGGTGGCAGAAGGAGCAAGTCAGGCATGAGTGCGTCACGCAGAACCGGCGCGAGTCCAGTCCTCACCAGTAGCCCGTTGGGTAGTTTCGGTAGCAGAGCGGAAAGTAGATTGCTCGCGGAGGTTTTGTGTCCGGGGTTTGTGCCATCGTGGATACCCAGGAGCGGGGGTATGAGCAATGGCCATGCGCCCTCCAGTGTATCGGTGGATAAATGTGCCGTTATGTAGGATAGTAAAGTTATGGCTTGCGGTAACTCCCTGGGCCAAGTAGGTGTCTGCAATGCCGCGCCTTTATTCGTAGATTCGCGCTGCGGAGGACGACTGGCGGGGGTGAGTGGAGATTTGAATAAGGGTTTTATAGTGGTCGCTAGGATTGTCGAGAGGGTTTGTGCGGAGCTCAGTCCTGGATCGGAGGATCGGAGAGTCGCGGAGAGTTGGTGGGATGTGGAGCAAGTCCATGGGTCATCGAGATTGGTGTATGTTATAGCTGCGATAGCGATCTTTGACCGTGCTGCCAACGGGGGCGGCGTGAGAGAGAGCGAAGAGTGGAGAAGCATTAGCGCTTTTTCGGAGACCCTGTGGAAGGGGTACCAGGCGGTCTGGCCGCGCGCAAACTCATCCTTGACGTCGTCCTCCTCCCGGAAGTGCTGCTCGACGGGGAGGAGGTCATGTGGTGGATGGAGGATAGTGGCAAGGTATAGCCGGAGCTCCTCGGAGGCGAGAAGGTCCGGAGCCGTGTCTAGTAGTAGGGTGAGTTTGGTAAGATTTGCTTCGATCTGAGGGGTGTGATTTTGACTTCTGGTTAGTTGGTCAGTTATATCACAAGTAGATGGTTGAGCGGGGAGCGGGTAAGTGGGTCGGGTCGCTTACCTGCTGGTATTTGCTTCTTGTGTCTCCGGAGGTGGGCACTCGACAAAGAGATCTAAGTTCGTCCATTGTTGGGATCCACCGGCATTCTGAATGGGTGCGGTGGGATGAGGCAAGAAAAGGTGGGAGGAGGGGGGAGTTGGTTGCTCAGGGCCGGTTGTAATGAGGCTCTGCTTCATCCTTGCCTCCGGTGGTAATGGTCAGGGTAACCGTTTTAACGCACCAAATTGTCCGTGTGCTCAAGGTATCATACTGTAGATTTATCGATACCCGTATTATAGCTCGGTAGTCTAATACCTCTCTCCCAAGCTTCTGATTCCATCCAACACCTACAGTCCAATACTGTGACCATCGGCCATGGCATCAATAGCGAAAGGTTCGGCTTCCTATAAAAAAAAGGATGGATCTCTTGTTCTGGAGAAGGACTCTGTCACTTGGACTCCCGCAAATGCTGAGGCCCCGTCTTTAAGAATTCCCGTGTCAACAATCACAAGTATGAGTCTAATTGCCATACTACCCCCGGCCACCTGCTAACGGAAGAAAGATCTCCAGGCAACCCCCGCGGCGGCAGCAAAGGTCATGATCAAGGTCTTCGCAACCAAAGAAGGCGGTACGGCAGAGCCTTACGTCTTCACATTCACTTCTGCCTCCTCTGCTCGCATGGAAGCCGATATCATGAAGGACGCATTAACCACCGCAATACAGACCTTCAAGACCAATTCCGGTGCTGCAACCCCCTCCGCTTCCGCTGGCCCTACCACTGCAGCCGCTTCCTTAGCTGCAGCCTCGGGATTTACTGCTGCAAAATTGGCCGGTAAACCCACAGACTGGAGTAGAGCCAGATTGGAAACAGATCTCGAGCTCCAAAAATCCCTCCTAAAAGCCGACCGAGAGCTCTCCACAACCTTTTCGGAGGCCGTGCTCTCTGGGGCCGTAACCGCAGACCAGTTCTGGTCCACGCGCACACACCTGCTCCGCGCCCACGTAATCGAACGGGAGCAGAAGCGCGGTCCGTACAACGTGCTCTCCACGATAAAGTCTAAGACTGTCGACAATGTTGTTAAGATGTCTTTGTCGCGCGAGGCCATTCATGACATTTTCGATCAGCACCCGCTGGTTAAAATGGTTTACGACGATAATGTGCCGAAGTTGCCCGAGGAGGAGTTCTGGAGTAGGTTCTTTTTGAGCAGGCTTTTTAAGAAATTGAAGGGGGATAAGCTACTGCCGACGGATAATACGGATCCAATACTTGATCGCTATTTGGGGAGAGATGATGAAGGTGGGCTATTTTGTGGATACCCGAGTGGAGGAGGGGGGGGACTAACTATGGGGTGTAGAAAACTCGAGGAAGCGTAGGAAGATAGAACATGTTCCTAGAACTATGGATATCGAGGGGAACGAGCAGAACCTGAGCCAGAAGAAGGGGAATGCGCCTGATTTGACTATGAGACCTGCGCGCACTGAGAACGTTCCGATTATCAGGACGTTGAACAGCCTTAGTTTGAAATTGGTGGACTTGGTCGCGCCGTGAGTATTCTGCTAACTCCATCACCAACATTGCTGATAGGCTCCACCCAGCACCGACACTGACCCCAACCAAGTCGAAGACCAGGACGAACGCTACATCAATGAACAACGCCTAATAGATCTCCACGGTGATCCCGAAGAAGAGCGCATCATCCTCAACATTCGCGACCAACGCCAATTCTTCTCAGCAAGCAGTAACGCTGATAAAGCGCGTAAAGAACTCTACTCAAACCTAAAACCCGAAGCCGTACTCCAGGAGATCCAAAAGACCCTCGGAGACAGCAACCTCAACCTTCTCACCGCTCTCACTGGCGGAAACGCTAGTAAAGGGAGCAAGGCCCAACTCTCCAAAGCGACCACGCAAATCGTGGCGGCAGTTAAGGACCGCAGGGAGCAGCTGTTGAATTCCAGTGGGTTTAAGCACAGATCCGGGGGCTTGCCCGCCAATGTATTCAATAGCGTAACGCTAGTTCATGCTACAACGAATGAATTCCTCCGGCACTTCTGGCTGGCCTTCTTGTCCGGGGACGAGAAGCGCGCTGGGGACATTACAAAGCTAGTTAACAGTTTGAGGAATTCGAAGGAGAGGATTGCGTCAATTGCCAAGACCGCCGATGAGGAGCGGGAACTGGAGCGGGCGAGGAAGAAGAAGGAGGCGCAGGAGGAGTATAAGAGGACTGGTGTGAAGCCGAAGCGGAAGACTTCCGAGGTCGGCGGTGGGAGTAAAGTTGTCGAGGAATTGCTGACACCGACGGTCATTGCGGTAGATAAGGCGTTGGGGAAGTACCAGGCTGCGCTGGGTAAGGCGGACAAGGGGTCGAAGACCGCTACTAGGTAGGATGATGGGCGGGAAGGGGGGTTGGGTTTGCTTGGAGTTTGGGTTTTTCCTTCAGTATGCCGGGTAGAATTGATGACTTCTTAGATTGCCCGGCTCCTTCTCTTCTTTCCACAGATACAGTGGGGTTAGATTGATTTATTAGTTGGGTGGTTGAGTAGGCGGGAGCATCTATTGAGTGTAATATACAATGATTCCAGGAATAGCCCATTCCACCAATCCACTTCCAAACGATCAAGAGAACCGGTGGAGATATCCAACCATAAAACATCTATTTAACCTTCTTCACCTTGATCTTTATCGTCTCTTCGCCAATAAAGATGCCCTGCACAGGCTCAGTTAGCCGGCACCAACTTCCCCCTCCTCTCTAGCGACCCAAAGGAGCACATACCTTCCCCTTATACGGCTCGGGAATCCTCCACGCCCTGATATTCGCGGCAAACTGATTAACCTTTGTTTTATCCACCCCCTCCAGCAGAATCCTGGTAGGCGTGGGCACACTGCACTTGACGCCCTCGGGCACGGACATGTCAACAGGATGACTAAAACCTAATCGCATCTGCAACTGCCTTCCGCCACCCTCGACCGCGGCCCTGTATCCGACCCCGACCAGGCGCAATATGGCGGAGTGACCCTCCGTCACGCCAAGCACCAGCTTCTGCAAGTTTGCCCGCCATGTGCCCCACATCTCGCGCTGCTGGCGGATCTTCGCGTCCTCGATTGTGACGGTTGCACGCCGGGAGGTGGATGATGGGATGGGTGTTTCCGTGATCGTTATGAAGGGCGGAAGACTAAGGTCTAGTTTACCCAGGGGGCCTTTTACCTGGCTGGACGTGCTGGGTTAGATGGGTGGACAGTTCTGTGCGCGGTCGATTGGGGGGAAGGGGAGGGGAGGGTGTACAGCGAGCCTATAGGTGTTTCGCGGGGATTCTTGTGTTTCGGTGGAGGGAGTTTGGTGAGTGTTACTGTGTCTGGGATCACTACGGGAGATTTCCCGATCTTGCTGGATGCTGTGGATGTGGTGGAGAATTGGCAGATGCATGTCCTCGGCGCATACCGAAGACACCGGTTCAGGGGGAGGAGCATTGTTGGGTACTCTTGTGAGTGAATTGAGGGGTCCCGTTGCTGTGGTTCTGGTATCATAACTGTATCATACCGGCCGGTAGTTGGTTGGTGGTGGAAATGTTAAAGCCGGGTAACTTAATTAGTAAGTTGATAAGGGTCTCCTACCCACTTGCCCGATCTGGTTGGGTAGGGGGAAAAAAAAAAAGTTCTAGGCTTGGGGCATGACAACTCAGAAATTGTTCAGCGAAAGTATTATGATAGCTGGAGGTATTTATGGCATTACCACCACTACTCACCACTCATCTCTCCACGCTCCCCTTCTATCTACCAGTTTTATACACTTCTACCCCTATTTCTATCATACCTCAATAACACTGTCAACAATTTCCCCACAAAAAGGATCTAAAGCCAAGTAACCCGAGCGGAACATCACACAAGCACGAACCGCACAATGTCCCCACCACCGGACCTTCTCGAGACCCTGACAACACTCACCGCCTCCCTCACCACGACCAGCACATCCCTCCAATCTGCCGAATTCCCAACACTCACGCCCCCAGGGGACGGCATATCCCTCCTGGACCTGAAAAACGAGCTCCTCCTCTCATACATCCATAACGTCGTCTTCCTCGTGCTCGTCCGACTGCGCTCGGGCACATTGAGCAACGGCATCGGCGCAGAGGCAGTCAAGGAACTAGTCAAGATCCGCGTCCTATTAGAGCGCGGCGTGAAACCGCTAGAGGGGAAATTGAAGTACCAGATCGATAAGGTCATCGCTACGGCCTCGTCTACCCCGGTTGATACCGCTCCTACGACGGCGAAAGAGATAGAAGTAAGAAACGGCAAGGGCAGCGACAAGGAGAGTTCGGATCAGGATGGAGATGTGACACAACACAACGACTGCGATGACTACTCCCGCCGGCAAAAACCCCCTACAGACGCAGCAGCGGCTTCAGTGCCAGTATCGACACTCGCCAGGAAGGAACTCGCCTTCCGCCCCAATCCGGCCGCTCTTGTAAAACCTTCCGCTCCAGCGCTATCCTACTCGTCCACTACGAACTCCTCCGACGTCATATACCGCCCACCCCGCATCTCCGCGACCGCAATGCCAGAACCCAACAGGGCCGCGGAGAAACCCCTCCGCCGCAAATCCCACATGCTCGATGAATTCGTTGCGGACGAGTTGTCCACCGCGCCGTTAGCGGAGCCATCCGTCGGCTCTACTATTATCAACTCTGGCCGCGTGGTCAAGACTGCGCGTGACAGGTGCGAGGAGCGGGAGAGGCAGGAGTACGAGGAGAGTAACTTTGTTCGGCTGCCGAAGATGGGTAAGAAGGAGGCGAGGGAGCTGAAGCGCCGTGGTGGGAGGGAGGCGAATGGCATGGGCGGCGAGGATTGGTCGAGTTTCACGGGGGATATAGAGAGGCTGACGAAGGGGGTTGACAAAGCGGGTAAGAGCGCAAAGTTGTTGGAGAAGAGTCGGAAAAGGAGGGGAGATGGGGACGAGGAGGAGGGGGGCAGTTCGAGAGTTGTTGGGGAGGCCTTTGAGAGGAGGAAGGAGAGGTTTTCTAAGAGGAGGAAGAATTAGATGAGTGTCGATAGATGGATACAGTAATAGATATTTTACAGGTTTCTATGCCCTTTTTAGTCGCCACTTTGCACTTACCCTGTATCATAATTAATCCACCCATTTCCACAAACAAAAAAGACTAACCCCTCACAACCATCACAATTACCATTACCGCATCTTAAGCTCCTTAACCAACCCCTCTACCATACCAACAACCTTCCCCATCTCTGCCTCGAGGCCAATATCCTCCAACCTTAGCCTCACCCACCCCCTCGTCTGCTCCTCCTTCTCCAAATCCCCCCTCACCTCCTCCTTCTTCCTGGCAATCACACCAGCAAATCCTCCGCCGTCACCATGACTCCTCCCCACCTGCGCAGCACACTCACACAGCAGTCCCCAAACAACCTTCCCGCAGTCCACCCCCGGAACCTGCAAGAACAAGTTCGCAAGCATGAACCCGTGCACGACTCGCACGGGGTGGAACCTCTGCGGGTAGAAGACCGGGTCGAGGCGTAAGTAAGCCAGTAGATAATGCAGTAGGGCCCGTTCCCAGTTCCCGGACGGAATATACTCGCTCTGCACAAGCGCTAGGTGCAGCGCGGCCAGGGGCTGCCGGGGCAGCGGCCATACAGGGGACTTGTGCAGGTGCTTCAAGCTGGAGATCATTTCATCACTCTTATCCGAGTCGAGCGCGGACCAGGCTATCTGCTCGAGTACCTCCACGTCCACGGTCACCGGGAGTGCTCGTGTGCACTTACCGCAAAGCACCGCTTCGTGTGAGGGTAGTCCAATCCCCCCGCAGGTGCAGAGGAACCCGTCTGTGGGGCCAGCGGGGCTGGTGCAACGCGAGCAGGCGCAGGTGAAAAAGTACTTTTCCGACAGTTCTAGCTGGCGGCGTTCGCGGGGCGCTGTATTGTCGATGTATGATATCAGGATTTCGGCGTTTGCGGGTATGTCTTCTAGAGCACGGACTTGGAGGACGCGGCCGTCAAAGAGGATGACGGAATTGGGCGTGCAATCGTGGTTTATGCTCGCGGCCAGCGGGTCGAAGGCAATACCAATGGGATCAAAAGTCTCTGTGACGAGGGTCATAGAGTTTACTAGTACCTATATCACAACCTCCATCGTCAATACCATCTCCCTCACCTATGAGAAAGAGCTGGGAAGGAATCTACGAACAGCGCAAATCAGCCTCCTAACTTCCTCCTCCCCCTTCCTCGTTCCTGAATAACCATGCGCCCCCTTCCCCATCACAAACACCACTTCCCATCTCTTCCCCCCGGCTTCCGTACGGAACCTCTCAACGTGATCTTCACACTGCGCAAGCACTTCCTCTTCCGCATTCTGCATGAGCACCCTCGTCGTGACGCGCACAGAACCCGGCAACGCCCTCGGCAGCTCAGCAAAGGTTTTGCATTCGTGCTTGTGCACGCGCTTCCAGTCTTCTGTTTGGCATTCCTACTTTCCCTCCCGGTTAGCCAACTCCCTTGCTCCTGTTTTCAGACCGGGAGGGGGGGGATTTATAACCCACCTACCTTTCCACAATACCTGACAACCTTACACCCCAGGCAAGCGAAGAGCTTCCGGGGAGGATTGTAAGTAGTTAAGATTGAGGGTGTGTCCGGGGCGTGGTGGAGACAGTTGCTGCAGGTGCTTTGCAGGTGCGCATCGCTGGGGACCGTCACGAGGGGTTTGGGGATCGAGAGGATTTGCGTGCCAGCTGGGATCGCGGTTGTTGTGAAGAGGCCACGGCCGCCCCTCGAGGAGTGCCTGCGAACCGCTTTTGACATTTTCGTTGTGGGGATAGCAATTTCGGACAGGTTTGGTGGGGTTTGGTGAAGGGAAGTTTGCATGCGGGGTGACCAGATGCAGGGTGGGAGGCGGGTTCGCCCATTTATCAATCATTGGTCTTGGCACGTGAGTGATCAATTGTGACCCTTGCACGATGCGTTCAATGATCGGATTTCACATAGCGGGCTATGTTATCGACAAGCTATAAACTATAGAGTACATGGTAAAATCCACCTAAAAGAGAGTATCGATTGTCTAAAAGGAAAACATACAGAACAATGCTGTGGAATGAAACAAGGCGAGATAGAAATGAAGAAGAAAAAAAGCATCCAGTCCCTCAACACACAAATGTTTACTCTCCCTCCACTTCCTACCGAGGCCCTTTACACGAGTTTCGCAAACACCCCTTGTTTTATACGGCAAAATGTGCAACGGAGCTAAGCAGTCTACATGCCCTCAAACTCACCCCCCGCATCGTCATCGTCGATGTCTCCATCTTGAATTTCCTTGGCCAACTCCCTCTCCCGCTCCCTGGCCTCCTGAGCATTCTTAAGTTCAAGTCGGTGCTGATTCATAGGGAACCTCATAGCCTATGGGGAATCAAGGAATCAGCCAAATTGCCTAAGTAATCACTAAAAAAATCAAAAAAATCAGATATCTCACCTTAACGCTATCGTTATGTAAACTCATACAGAACATGATTCTCTCGTGAAAGGCCTCTTGCGGCTCCTGGGTGGCATAGACGTCCAGCAACTCCTTGCTCTGCATATAACCCTTCTCATGATTCAAAGTGGCCTCAATAACACCATCCCGAATAGCCTTAGCAACAATATACTCAGCACTCTCCTCACTATCTAATCTAAGTCTCACGCAAATATCCCTCAGTGAGATTTTTGAATAACTCAAGCTCATCATACGGATACCAGTCTTGATGACGTTCTGGCGCAGGCGAAGAATGAGCGAATATGTGCCATCTTTCTTGAACGTCCCGGCGTGCGTGTTGAGCGTGTCAAAGAAAGAATCGAGTTCTCCGATCCGAACGGCCTGCACGAGCAAAAAGTATGCGTGCAGAGACTTTTCAAGTCTGGGTTCACGGAAGATGGACCGTTCCGGAATATCTCCCATGAGAAGCTCAACGATAATATTGAGCTTGTTGGCAGCCTGGACGAATCCGGCGGCAGCAGCAGTCTGGGGAGCTTTGCGGATAGCTCCCACAAGTTCGTTGTGCGCGGCGGTGTAGTCAAGCTGGATAGCGCGGATGCGGCCAAGATAGTATTGGTAACGGGCAATGAGGTTATTGGCCGCAGACTCAGGGAATAGGGTTTTTGAAACAAGATGATCGGCCTGAGTGATGTGCGATGTTTGGAGGTAATTACGCAGGAGAAGCGTAATCAGAGTAGCTTGTGTATCAATATCCTTTCGCAGGGTAGCGGTTCGCAAAGAGGCAAGAAGTTGTGGACGAATTCCGGCGACGGCAGGAGGGGGAAGAAGCTCGTGCACACGAGAGTAGTAAAAGTACACCTTAGCAGCCAGGGAGTCAAGCGTTCGGCGATTGAGCGAATGTATTATCTGAACCAGCTCGGTGGAGAAAGCCGCGCCCGTTTCTAAATTCTTCTGGTCCAAGAGATAAATCTGCACGAGCAAGTGAAGGTAGATATCAATTTCCGGCAATAGAGCCCCGCCGTCCTTTGATCCTTCAGAAGAACTATCTAGGTCCATCCCGAATGCGCTAGGCCCGATGGCCGTGGTAAGCCTACGGGACGAGGGATGATCTCCAGGATAGGTTTCGGCAACAATCTTGGTGAGAATCTCAGGATTCAGACGCCGGCGTAGAGATGATAGGGAACGTAGAACACGGAGGGTGAATCGAGCATCGAACAGGGTGACAGCTCTCTCGAGTAGGGTGAAGTTTTCCTTAATTTCTAAACCACCGCATTAGATCCATCGTTTGCGCCCCAAGGAGAAACAGGTAGATTCGTACCATTTATTGCAACGACAACAGGGTTTTCCTCCTTCTTATCCCCTTCTTCCTTCCCATCATTCATATCCACGTCTTCATCTCCAGGCTTCCCCGGCTTCTCAGTCCTCTTCCCAGCAGTGGGAGTGGTGACTTCAGCGTCATCCTTCATCTCGATATCTTCGGCACCATTCTCGACCAGCGGGATCTCCTCCTTCGATGGTGGTGACGATCCCGCCTTCTTGCTGGTTGTTGCCTTCTTGGTTGATGACTTTGTTGGTTGTTTGGAGGAATCACCACTCTTCTTGTTTCCGGACGACCCAGAGTCCGAGCGTTTGTTTGACCTGAGGGAGCGTTTATCCACCATAACGCAACCGGTGAAGTGATTAAGGATTGTAAAAAGAAAAAAAAGATAAATGGAAGCCCGGGGAGAAGATGGGGGTAGATGAAGATGAGGGGAGATGAGTGGATGGGATAAGGAGGTCGAGAAGGGTGTTCACAGGTCGAAGTTTGGGGTTGGTGGTGGGAGGTTTCGTCGCCGCCGTGTTGAGCTCTCTCACTCACCCTTCTGGGGGGCTCTGTGTCAGCGGGATGCGGTCTACGTAGTCAGCAGTGTAACTTAGCACCAGCAACCGGAATCGGGGAAAATGGGGTTGTTAGAAATAGTGGAACTGTGCGATGTTTATCTGTGACGATTGAAGAAACCGAGCATAAGTTAATCTCCATATCCCGAGACGCCATTTGGTGATGGTACTGTACTGGTGGTACTCGAGTAGACGAAGCGTGACAATGTCTGCCCGCAACCCAAGTGACTTCAGGCCTTACCGGTGTTGATGCTGTAGTGTATGATACGAACGAGTACGGGTACCGGTACTGCTGCAGCGCCTTGACAGTACTCGAGTACTGTAGCATATTACTAGGCAACACAGCAACACCCCCAAAAGTCCTATCGATAGCGACGGATCCCACCCACCGCCACCACCCACACCCACACGATCGCCATCACCCTCTCCCCATAAGCAGACAAACAACGATACGGTACTTACCACTCCACTCAAGACTCTTCGTCCCAACCTCCTACAGCCAGCAATGGCATCTCAACTCCTCCCTCTGGGTATCTCCACTCCCACTCGTCTACAAGCTTGCCAACTGACTTCCACCCCAGAACTCGTCGATAAATGTGTTGGCTCAAGAATCTGGGTGGTGATGAAGGGTGACAAGGGTAAATTTCTCTCCTCCACTCCACCCATCTCAGCTTGACCATCGTTGATCCTCAGCTAACTAATCTACCAACCCCAGAATTCAGCGGAACATTGGTCGGCTTTGATGACTACGTCAGTACGTGTCCTATCACCTCCCTCCCCCAACTCCACTTGATTATGAACTGACAAAAAGTAGACATGGTCCTGGAGGACGTAACAGAATAGTGCGCTCCCCCTACCCTCTCAAACCTCAGCCTGAAACGGGTTGGAGTGTTAGGAAGTGTAGTTAATAGGTAAACGGCCGACAGTGAGAGCACCGGGGATCAAGTAAAGCTTAAAAAGATACTTTTGAATGGGAACAATATTTGCATGGTATGTCAGTTCTGATTCCGTAAAACTTTGGGGGGGGGGGGGGAGGGAGCTAATTTTTGCACAAGTTGATTCCCGGAGGTGATGGTCCCGGGAATTCGACGGCATGAGGTAGGGAATGTCGAAGAGGAAGGCAAGAGACGGAGAGGTGGGTAATGATTGCTAGGCTATATTAGGTACTTACGACGGCGAGGTTAATGCATAAAATACGCTTCACGTAAAGAAGAACATTGAAAAAGTGGTGTGTGGTCAGATATGATATAAAGATTTTTATATACCGGCATTGGATATCAAGAGGCGCGATGTACTAAAGCCGTATGCGGCGCCATAAAACCACCGACGAGATAATCTCCCATGACCCTCGACATAGTGTATCACTCCACTCAGCCCACGGTCAGCTAGAAAGATCATAGGACATGGTGGAGACATTATCTACGCAGCAATTCCACAATCCAAACCCGCACAGCTGAAAAAAAAAAAGGAAAATCGAACTATATCCCTCGAACAAATGCTGAGCAAAGCATTAAAAATACCTTATTCGCGATCCAAGCCCCAACTCCGTGAATATCAATCAAACAAGCGTCAAACCGCGATTTTACCTCCCCATTTACTCCCCAAGCCCGTCAACTCGACAATCACGTTAACAATCGTACTGACAACCCACAGGCCGATAAGCGTGAATCCAATCTGTCTCGTCATCATCCATCGGTTCAATGGCACCGCAACCAGCAGTAGAACCAGGGTGATGAGAAGCGTAGCGGCAGAGATGATTAGTGTAGAGGAGACTTCTATAGGGTAGTAATCTGCGCCCTTGTGCGAATGAGAGATGGTTGTCATGTAGAGCCCTGAAATACCGATTCCGAGAAGAATGTTTAACATAGGGCCACCAAAGCATGCGGAGAGCGCCATGACCGGGAAACCGAGTCGGGCAACTGTAATGTCGGCCACGAGATCGCCGAGGGAGTTTCCCTATCATCCATAGCGATTAGCAGTTGCATGATGTAATTACCGGGGGGGGGGGGGGGGATGGTTTACGATAGCGAAGATGGTAAGTCCCAAGATCGCATCACTGATACCAAATATGACTCCAAACGCCTTCAAAACGCCCACCACCTCATTGGCAATGGCGCTGATCCACCCAATGGCCACGACAAATCCAGCAAAACAAAGAAGATATCTCCACCGTGGTGGCCTTTCTGGAGTGGTGAGAACAAGTAAAGATGCCAACGCGATCAGTCCCCCAAGGAGTGCATAGAGAATGGGTTTCAGCAGTCGGACGCCATCGTCTGCAAGAAACATGACAACCATGAAAATCGGGGCAGTGATGCATTGTATTGCTACGAGCCATCTGTTCCACTCTTTTGGGCCAATGTCATCCGGTGCACTTACTCCATTGCCAGGGCTACTGGAGGCGCCGTTGATAGACATTAGGTCTCCTCCCGTGACAGTGCTGACGGGGCTTTCAGGTTCCAAAACTACTGTGGGTGTCTTATCACTGGTTTGAGATCCCCCCTCAACAACCGGCAGTGTTATTGTGAGCAGGAACACACTTGGCAGCGCGATAAAGCCAAGACACTTTTCCATGAGTGATTTGCCTTTGAACCCTCGAAGGGTAGGGAATAGGGTTCCGAACAGGACCCGGGGTGGAGGGAGTATATGGTACGGCCAGTATCTAAGTATCTTCCGGCTACCCCCTGCGGATGGTGTGCCTAATGATGCCGGGCTTATAGAGGGAGGAGGGAGGCGGATTGAAGGTGGAGGAGAGGCTGATGGACTGCCAAAGGGTCGTGGGGATTCGGTGAAGTGCTGTGGACCGGAATCCGATGCCGGGCCAACATGAGGAGCGCCCGAGGAGGCCTGGCTCAATGGGCTCGTGGGTTCAGAGTGAGTGGGTGAGTACCTTGAGCCCCTCGGATACCCGGTCGGGGATGGTGGTGAAAGAAAGTCGGGAGTTTTGGCCCGAGCGAACAATGCCCCATCGGTTGCCAGGATTAATTGCGAGGATAAAGGTGTCGGTTGTGTTATATTGACTTGAGGTAAACTATTTGCAGACCTACCAAAGTATTCATGATCAACATTGGCTCTAGCAGAATCATTCACTGACATCCCACGCGATCTTCCGGTGTTAGGATCTGCAACAGGGTCATCTTCTGGTGAATGACGGTCTCCAAAATTCTCCGGAACAACCAAGGACCCGGGAGCCGAGAATGACGAAGGGTTTAAGCTCAAGAAGGGGCCGTCCGAATATCGGCGAAGGTGGATAGGGCTCCCTTGTAAATTCTTGTTTTTTTCCAGAGAGGATAGCACCGCCCGAAACTGCAGCCGGCGCACACTCGTATTAACTCTCAGGGCACATCAAGACGACGTAGGGATTCTCACTTCTAAGGCACCAACTAGAGAAGGCCTGATCCCATGTGGCGTAGCTGGTGTATTATGCCTCTCCACAGCTGGCCTAGTGAGTCGCATGTTATTGCTTAATTCTGCGTACGCTTGTTGCTCCTGTTCTTCCTCGTCGTTGTCTTCACTTTCCCCGCGCTCAAGAGCACGGAAATCATGAGTGGAGTCTAGGAGTCCGGTGGTCTCACCCACCCCACCGTCCTCATCATCATCGTCGATTGTTTCCTCTTCTTCGGGTGCCGCATAGTGTTCCCTAGCACTTCTTTCCTTCCTCCTTCTTCGCTTCCTCGACTGAGAGGCCCAATGCCACGCCACGACAAAGCATACATAAAAGCAGTAAAACATCACCATCACGACACATTCCCACATCTGTATCTTTCCATCGGCTAGGAAGAATATGCCGAATAATACGGCGACAATGAAGAAGCAGACATCCCGAACAAATGATCTCCTGCCCACTCGGAAGGGCCTCACAATGGCCATAGAACCCGCTACCACGGCAGCAATAAAAGAGGCAGCGCCGATAAGTTCGCCGACGGCAAGTGATCCCGAATTTATCTTCATGGCCGCAAATGTGCTGAAAACGTCCGGTGATCCATTACCGAAGGCTAGAAAAGTAACGCCGGCCTACTCGATCATATTAGCGTGGTGTAGAGAAAGTCTTGGTGGCTACGCACCAGACTCTCGGACATCCCCAAAATATTTGCGATGGTAGAAAGATTGATACAAAAGAAGTCGCTCGCCGCAATACCAAGTGTCTAGAGCAGGTCAGTTTCACGTAAGGTTCTCCCCCCACCTTGAAAACTGGTGGGTCCCTCGCCGGGTGCGCGGACACAAGGCATACCGTGAATAACATTACAAGCCATCCAGCCATTATCATGAGCGAGACCACAGGAAGCTTTTCCAAGCGACAGTAATAGAGCCCCAGGTAATCAAAGTACCCCACTTCTTCATCGTCGCAATTCTCCTTCACAAACTTGCATTTGTCTTCAAACTCGTGCACCCGTCGGCACTGTGATCAAGCTTGAGGGTTAGTGTTGCGCCGGAGCTGATGGGCAAACGATACATACCTCCATATCACGAACCCCCACCGCTGAGCCATCTAGACTAGAAATGGGCTTGAAGAAGCTCGGCCCACTGAAATGTTTTGGTGATATGCTATGGCTGGGGTGCAAAGCTTGTGGCCGTTGGACTCGTTTGGCAGTGACGTCAGGGGCAGAATTTAAAAGCAGGAATAACAGAGCCGGCAGCACTACCGACAGTCGGAAGGTGGAATTAAAGCAGGTCATGGTCGCCGAAGTGAGGGGAATGTTTTGGATGGAGCGTTCAGCACCGGGGACATCTCCAATATGGCGCTCAAAGGAGATGAATCTTTCGGGAACGAGGAGAAGAGAGGGAGAGAAGGGCTGCGGGGGCAGTATAGCACGGGTAGATTTACATGTGGTGGCACTATCGAATCGATAAAGGCAAGGAAGGAAAGCAGATAGCGTACTCGTAGGTTGGAGTTATAATATGATGGGGGCAAGAAAGGGGCAAGGTGGGCAGGAATCGCCCGTACCGCTGGATTAACGATCGATGGAGGTGAGAGGGAAATAATTGAACTGGTTTGGAAGAAACGGTCTTGAGCACGCACTTGTATGATGCTGTATCACAAGAACACCGCCCCGCAGAGCCGTCAGCAACCATACCGGTGCCGCAGAACGGTCCACCCAGCCCAGGGACACATCATTATCGTAGGCCGGCATGACGAAAGCTTCAGCTGTCTTTGGCATGCGTGAGCACGATACTATAATTTACAGCAAAGAGCTGTTCCTATGGTACAGTACGAGTAGATATCACACGGTACAAGCATCATCATCATCATACTATACCGTACCGATAAGCCACTCTCCAGTTTTCAGCCTGTGCCACTTTCAGCCACCGTTGCCATGGATACAGGGATGCCTTTATACGGTGGTTTTAGTGTGATTGTGTTTACCCTCCTCTCGGAGAGAGTGTTGTGTCGTATCGTAACGTAGAATACCGCGGTAGAGCGTCAAAAAAGTAAACAACCTCCAAACCCACTCCATCCATACCGTACCCGCTGCCTGTCTCCTGTCCCTACTACACCTTTAACCCGTATCCCCCACCATCAACCCCGCATGCGCCATCCCCATCAAACATTTGGAATACCCCGGTGACTTCTATCTCGCCTTAAATCGCTATCATACAAGGCATCATCCTCATCATAGATCGCTACCGACACCGACTTTGAGGGGAGTGAGGTTCTGCAGCAGAGCGGAAAACATAATAAGAATGATAAACTCACCCCGGGCTCCCCGGCTGCGAAGGAGTGGCGGACACGAATATGTTCCGTCCCCACTGAGGCCATCGCCGATGGGTACAAAGATCCCCCTCAACGACGATGTTGCGGAAAAGGCCAAACGCCTCAAAAGGCGCACCCTTCTCCGTGGCCTTCAAGCAAACGAGATCGTTGCGGCAGCATCCCCAGCAAGGCGACAAACAATAGGCTCCGCGGATGATCCAACTACTCCTCGAAACCTTGCTACCTTGAGAGGTGGAGTTGCTGGTGAGGGTCCGATAGACGCGGTCACACCCTTGCGCAAGGTTCCCATACTGGCAAACTTTGAGGAATGGATGAAATTGGCTACGGATAATGTTAGTATACCTGCGCTGAGATGTAGGTTTTCTCGCTCGGTTCGGTCGGGCTAACTGGAGTTATCTGGCTGTAGAAAATCAACGCCACCAATTCGTGGAATTTTGCTTTGATCGACTACTTCTACGACATGTCGCTTCTGAAGGAGGGAGAAGGCATCAACTTTCAGAAAGCAAGCTGCACTTTGGATGGCTGTGTCAAGATCTACACCAACAGGGTTGATTCAGTTGCAACAGAGACTGGCAAATTATTGAGTGGCTTGGCGGATAGTAACTCCAAGAGGAAAGATCGGGATGGCGAGGAAGGGGAAGGAAGCGATGATGAAGCCGGCGAGGATGGAGAGGATGGCGAAGGATCAAAGAGGCGGAAACGCAAGGTATCTTGGACAAACCGAAGCCATTGGTCCGTCAGTTCGCTTACGTACCACTAGGCTCAAAGATCTTCGGAAGCCACCCTAGCTAAGGACTTCGCCTCCCTACAAATCAAGAAACACGACCTTGAGCTGAATGTTGACCCTCTGTTCAAGAAAGCCACTGCAGACTTCGACGAAGGGGGTGCTAAAGGTCTACTCCTGAACAACCTCTCGATCGACTCCTCCGGAAGGATTGTCTTTGATAGCAGTGACGACAGTAGCCATGCAGATCCCGCAGACAAAGAAGACGATGGCATCAAGAAGGAGGAGGAGGAGGAGGAGGAGGAGGAGGAGGAGGAGCCCAAGGAACCAGGGCCAGTAGAGGAAGACAGGGTCGAGATCGACTTTAATGCCCTTCGCAACAAGTTCTTTCCCAATCTCAATATTTTGGATCAACAAGATATCTGCCCCTCTCTCAAAAACTTCGATCTCGGTGACCCTGCAGGTTCGTTGGATATTCCCTTCCTGAAGGCATTGGAAGAACGCGGCGATGATGGCGACATTCTTGCGAGCGACATCGAAGGACCAGACGGGCCAATAGGTGATGGAGACTTGACAGAGAGGCCAGATATGGCTTTTGGTTTTGACGCTGGCTTTGGTATCGGCGATGATGATGATGGAGATATGGGCTTCGGGGAAGGAGGCGAAATATGGGCCAATGAGACCATCGTAGATGCTGCTCAGCGATTCATGAGCCCTGCAAAACGGCCTCTATTGGGCCTTGGAGGCGAAGGCGACGAGGATGAGGACACAAAGGATTTTACAGTGGGTTTCGGGGGAGGGGGAGATGATATCTTAAGCTACTTTGACGAAACTCTGAAAAAGAACTGGGCTGGGCCCGAGCACTGGAGAATCCGGAAACTGAAAGGTTTGCAGAAAATTCCCTGCTACTTGTCTGGACCAGTAATATGTAAACTAACATTAAAAGCGAAAACCAGACAACTCCAAACCTGTCAATGCGCCCGTCCGTCAAAGGAAAGAGAAAGAATCATTCCTAATAGACTTCATGAACCCCGGGGCCGAAGTAACAGATGACGTTGTCCGCCCAAAGAAGGGAACCGCAAGCATAAACATGCCCAAGAAGGACTGGAAAAGCAAGTCCCGAAACCTCCTCCCGGATGACAAGCACTTCAACTCTACACAGCTCAAAAAGCTCTTCCTGAAACCCAAAGCCGTGCTATATGCCACCAAAAGCAGTAAAGCCACTGGCGGCGGCAAAACAGTTGAAGACCGTCCAGAAGACATGGACGAAGAATTTTGGGCAGGGGAAGATATGGCTAAAAATATACAAGCTTCTTCAAGTATACCCCCTCTTTCTCCCACCCCCTTCTCCTGCTTCCAACCAAACTAACTTTCCCTCTAGCACCCGACCCCAAAGTCTCCGGCAACTACGATGCCAACTTCTTCAGCGACGAAGGTCTCGGCATCCCAGGGCCAGCAGACGACGACGACGACGACTTCGCCGACGCCCGGGAAGTCTTCTCACCGCCCCCGGACACTCTCCCCCCGGGCGCCCAAAACCCCATAGCCCCCGACCCCTCCCCACTCAACGCCCTGCTCGCCGGCGGCGGCGGTGGCGGTGGCGCAGCCCAAGGCGTGGAGTTTGGCAACCAGCTCGTAACCTCTAGCCGTCGCGTCCGTCCAGAATACGTACAATACGCAAAAATCGCGAAAAAGGTGGACGTGCGCAAGCTGAAAGAGAAACTCTGGGACGGGCTATCATTCAGCGACACAAAAAAGGAGGAGCAGCTGGATGCAGGGGGGGAGAATGCGGTGAAGGATGAAGAAGAAATGGAAGACGTCAAGGTGGAGGAGCGCAAGTTCACGCGGATCATGAACGGACTGCAGGAGGTTTACCCGCAGAAAGCCATGGCGGATATTTCCACCTCTTATTGCTTCATTTGTCTGCTGCACTTGGCGAACGAGAAGGGGCTTGTGATTGAAGGGAATGAGACGCTGTCCGAGTTGAGTATCCGGAGGGATATGACGGCGGAGGGGATGGATGAGTATTAGATGTTGTGGACGATAATGCGTCAGGAAATGGGTGGGCGGTGCGATGTGGTAAACCGGTTCGTCTGTGCGGACGGGGATGGAATGTGTGAACGAATGGATGATGGGTGGTGAACTGCTCTTGGCTTGTTTCCCTTGATCGATATTTTGCTTGGTTTGGGGTATTGCACTTCATCACGCTCTAATTTCTGGCGCCCGGGGTGATTTTGCGGGCGAGTGTTTCCTTAAAAACGGCATATTACAACATGGCTGCATTCTGTATTGTTCTTATTTCCTCATTGAAAGCGATTTCCCCGGTGTGACCGGTGAACCGCTGATCCCTCCCATGAACATTCAGGAAACGAGTGATTTTCCGTGAAACCCTTTTCTAGAGATCAAAGAGGGTTTCATTTTGCCAAGAAAGAGGGAAAAGCTAAAGCCAATTGACTCGGACAAGAGCAGGAGATTGACTAAGAGCCACTGATACAAGAGGCTATGAGAAAACTATTATTTTTTCAATGTGAAACCTCAAAACCCAAACTCCATTTCCGTTCTATTATCGCCTCACATGCGCCGGCGTCCCACGTCCATACCTAACATTGCGATCAACAAACTTCCTCATGACCAAAGCTTATTTCCAAGGATCGTGGAGAGGGTGCCCCTGTCCGGCGCTTTGTACTTACCGCCCATCAGACCTGTGTCATCACTCTTGAAACCGTCGCCATCATTAAAGAGGGAATAGGAAAGGGCTCCCAGGGCAGCGGACCAATCCTTCATCGCCTTCATTCGTTCGGCATCGACATTAACCTCAATTTCAATCGTGCCCTTCTGCTGGTTGATTTTGCCGCGTATCTTCTTGTCAAGGATAAGAAATCCCAAAATCTCTTGGACCTCTGTAACCTGTATCTTAAGCTGCCTGGCGATGAAGTCAAGGGTAAACCGGCTGAATGGAGCGATAAGCTTCAAGAGGGCTTCAGTACGGATGTTGCGGGTAACTTCATCGATGTGCTCGCGGATAAAGGGATCCGATAGTATTTCGGCCTTGTGAATCTCCAGTATCGACTCGTAACGATGAATCTCGTTACGTTGGTACGCCTCTACAAGGTCCGTCATAGCTTGGATGCGAGGGTCCGACTTATATCTGTAGGGTGATTAGACGACGGCCCCGGGAAAGATAGGGGAGGGCTTACGGCTTGGTCTCTTGAGATTCAAAGGGATTGATCTCCGACTTCATGAGCATACTAGCTAGGACAAGATACTTCAGTACCTGTATCCTCTGGATTGAGCCAGCTTCATCGTAGTTTCGAAATGCCTCGAAGAAGTCACTCTGAGCTTCCTTCCAGTTTTCTACACAACGAGTTAGGCCCAAATGAAGGATAGAATCAAACGGTCAACCAAATACCTTCATTCATGTGCATCTTCCCACCACATTCCCGAATGATTCCCATGATCCTCGGATGGGGCACGGCAGAGCGAACGCGTAGAGATTGATTATATAACTCCTGCGAAAAACTTAGACTCGGATTTTCACCGTGGGAGGAAAGGTCTCCGCATCACCTTCATTTTTTTATTATTCCCAGTCTCCGAATACATCTGTATCTCAATGGCGTAGACCTCGAGAAGATAGGTTCCCTTGGAAGGGTCATCGCTGCCGTCAGGTCTCTGGCAAGCCTTATGGAGGAGACGGATGTTCTTCTGAAGACGTGCATATTCCTTCCTATCAAGCCACAACTTCGCTAATTTGATGTTAGTCTTCAGCCATAGACGTTCATTGTTAGTCCCCTGGAAAGCGGCAAGCGTCATGTCGTAGAATCTCTCCATGTAAGGCATATCATCCTCGTCGTTAGAAGAAGAGATAAAGTCCAGCATATTGTTGAGGGACTTTTCAGAATAGTTGCGTGTGACGGCGGAGCGGATATAGGTGAGGAGTTCATCAAAATGTTCGACAGCCTGGAGGGAATTACGGGGGATCAGTGGGCGGGAAGAATATGGCTGAAAAGGCGGAATACCCGGTCATGCTTCTTGAGTTTGAACTCAAGCTTGATAGCTTGCTTCAAGCCCTTGAATCCCCTAGCAATCACAAATTCTTAGCTACCTGTAAACCCACCCCCTACCCAACGTCTGGGGGAACCTACCAATCACCCTTCTCCTTCTCTAGGCCGACGACTCCTAGAAACTCGTCTATCGCACCCCGGGGGTCGCTCGGCTTCATCTGCTTAGCGTTGTAGTATTTGTTTTCCACGTCTACGTCTCCGGATTCCTCCTCCCCCTCGTCCTCGTACTCGAAATCGTAACCCTCCTGGTCAGATTCGATCATGAAATCATCATCGGACATGGTTGGAGGTGCACTAAATCAAAAAAGGGAACAAGTGGCTGGGTGGTTGATGAGCGGATATGGTGGGGGCTTTTGTGTGAAGCCGAATGAAGGTATTGGTATGATAGGCAATGGGATGGGATGGCCGGGCTGGGCGACTGCCGATATTTCAGCTGGTGGGCAAACCAAAACGGTTGCCCCACATCCAGGGCAAAGCCATACGGTATGGTAGGTAACGAGGGCGGTATGATGACTCAGCCGGCCTGGACAGCGTATCACAGCTGGGGTTGGCTACCGGTACGGATATCGGGTCAATGAGCAAGAATACCGGTCTGCCGCAGGTTATAACCACCTTCTCTCTGCTAGTCCACAATTATTATTTAACTGAGCAACCCCGCGCTGGGTGTGATACGATACCATACTAACTTGCCTATTCTCCGTTGTTCGTTACCGCACAAATACCCGGTGCACGCTCAGGTAGAGAGACACCTTACACATAAGTTACATAGTTACAGAATATGAGACCAAACACCCTGGACCGCCATCTCATACCGGTACACTTCCGCCCCCCATTCGCCGGCGACCAAGCTCACCTACGATAGCAGTATAATACTGTGCCGGGTACAGTTATATAACAAGGAAAAGCTTCTAATGATTGTACCGTAGCGTACCGGTAACATCAGTCCCCCTCCTTACCGGTCCTCCATTCTTTTTTCTCCGAGGTTTGTGACCTAAATAATCCAAGCGGGGTAAAGTGTGGTGATATTATGAGATATTGTACAAATCTTGCTCGGGCAGTGAGGAAGGAGCGAACGAAAGGAGTAAGCAAAGGGATAGATAAAAAAGGGAACGGGGGTTTCTACTCGAGTACATGGGTTTTTTCCCTAATAAAACCAGTTCTATGCCTAAACGGTTAACGGTGCTCCAATTACTCTCGCCCCGATTCTGGCTCTCCAAGAAGAATGGAACGAAAAGCGGGAAAGGAAATGATGAAAAGATATGGTGGCGGGCAGCATGCCATTAACGTAAAACTCCAAAATGCAGCTCGCACCTCTGCCGCCCTCGACGTTAATCTCTATCCAAAATAGGGCCCGGGCCTTGGGGATCCCCAACAGCGCTAGCACGAGCCCTAATCTTATCCCACGCTTCCCAATCGTCACTGATGATTCCACTGCCATAAGTGGTGGTAGTAGATTCGCCAATACCCAACTCTGCCCATAGCTCATGAAAGGTAGAGCGCTTTGCCTCTTCAAGAGGCGAGGTCGGGGCTGCTTATTCTTGGGTGGCTTCGTGCTGCATATGTTGGTTCGGTAGAGGTATAATGAATGTGAAGAGATGGGAGAAAGCTTTGCTGGCATAGGAAGCCCATAGCAACCAACCCTATGGGCGCCTCCGTTGTAGAACCACTCCTCCGCGACCATCTTTTTCACATGGGTGGTTTTCCATGAATCGACCGGGATATCTTGACATTCGGGATTGGGTTAATGTGGTACTCATTCCTAGTATGGACGTAGTGGTAGCCAGTGCCCAAGCTCATCCACCCAAATGACGCGGGCAGGCTCACGACGAGGTCGTCTATGGGAAATTTCAAATTTTAGCCACTCCCCACGGTCCAAGGTGATACATTCCATACTAGAATAGGTCACCCGTAAATACTTTCCGGGCAACTTCTCAACCCACGTTGCCAACTCCCTATTTCCTGCTTTTGGTTGACCAAAGGTAACCTAAAAACTCAGGCATCAGAAGAATACGTGTCAATGCTTTGTTTTCGTGACCTACCAGGGCAACAGAGGCACGGGAACCCTCACAGAAATCTCTGTCTACCGCAAACTGTGCGCGCAGCAGGTATGCAACTGCTCCACCAAGAGAATGCCCGGTAACAGTAAGAGTAAAGTCCCTATACTCAGACAAAGCCCGTAACCTCTTTACCTCAGCCTTGACGGTTCTATGGATCTCGCGTGTTGCTACCCAGAAGCCCGAGTGCATGTAACAACCTTTACACAGGTGTCTCGCGGAAACAACAAGAATAGCTGCATCCGTAATCCAATTCATTAGGCCGATGGTGCCCCGAACAGGCACTACAATCTCCCTGGCTTTCTCATCAACTAATACTACTGCACCGATTCCTGTGATACCGAATGCAGACTTTGCCCACGCCCTTGGGCTAGGTTTCGGACGAGTGTTAGAGCATATAGTCCACCTCCAGGCCTGGGACTCGGTTTGTTGCAGGAACACCTACTAGTGAGCCTTCATGATTTTGACCGAGTTCTCCGGAATGATGAATAATTCCCTTCTCGTGTGCCCCCCACCATCCTTCATTCCCAGGTTTTCGTTTGTAACAACATCATGCTTGGTTGCCAACCTTTCTATAATTTTTCCTGGACAGTATGCCAAAAAGGCTCGCTCTGCGTTTTTCTTCATCAATTTGAGCTCGTCTTGGATCACGCCCTCCTCTGCGGTTTCATGGGTTAGCCGATATAAACCTAATAACATACTGACAGACACAAAAAGACTGGTAATACCAGTGGCTGGTTTGAATAGCTCATTAAGAGTTTTCACAACACCATGCGCCGCAAGCTGGTATGCGGAGACACGGACGTCTATCCAAACCGGAGCATCAGGCCCCGAAACAGCTTTAGCACCAAGGAGTGGCTCCAAAGAGTGCTCGTTCCTCGCGGCTCCTTCTACCCCCTCAACCCACTGACTCTCCAAGTCCACCCCCCCTGACCTCTGCGAGCCGCTAGGTGATGGCTCCCTGGCACTCTTACTTATCGAAACAAGTTCTGCAAGTGTCCACAATGTACCCCATATCTTGTGAATGAACATTTTGTAGTAAAGACAATGTAAAGTACGTCCGAATCCGCCGTTTGTGAAGATAGCTGAATATGCGTGTGAGGAAATAAAAAATAGGAATAGAGGCGGTAGGCATGGGATATTGACAATGTCTAGAATGAGTTATGTCGAAGGGCGCCAATGCCTAGGCTCTATAAACGCCCGTTGTTTGGCAGATTTATCCAGTTGATGGATTCGAGGCACCAGAGGAAGCCGGTCACTTTCAGTTGAATGAAAGCAATGTGGGGCACTCTCCAAGCATGACTGGCCTTATATATATTTGGTTGGAACCCCCACTTGCCCCCGGCCCGCCTCATGGATACCTTATACCCATTGCCAGATAGGTAGAGCATTGCCTCTATTGAATTGGCTGGGAGCATCACCGGACTGCTTGCTAGTGGTCCGGCAGCTGCTGCACTGCACAAGGAACCAAATCCCAGATAGAGCTTTACCGTTTTCCAGGTTATCTTGACTGCCAAACTCGGGGAGTGTCCGACACCCACCGACTCGAACAGATAGCTCGGTGATTAGCAGTGTCCCCTCTCGCGCTCGCGCAAGCAATGCAATCGACTGAAGCAGAGGGGTTTCGACTGGCGCGGGCCGGGTTTGTAAGGCTTCCGGGACAATGCCCTGCTGCGAGCATCTCCTAACAATAGTCCGGTAGCTCGGGGGAACAGAGTATGCCAGAATAGGCGAACCATTTCCCACGGTTTCGAGTTCACAACCTCGCAAGCAGACCCAAAGATACCAGTACGAACCCTAAAAGGGTTGGACTAGATAGAAGCATGTACCGTACCAGCAAGAGCAAATAACTCATCGTGTTGATATTCCACTGGTGGGCCTTATATCGTACCCACAATCGCTAACCCAGAAATCTTGATTCACACCCGACCCCGTGTCAACACGACACCTAAAAGGATAGAGTCTGATAATAGGTTAACGGTAATTCCCATGCTCGAACAGGGTCTATTGACGGGAGAACCCATAGAGAATGTTTACCTAATATGCCTGAAAGAGTTCGACATATGTACCAGAAGCAAAGGAATGAGTGAAAGAATATCCTCCAGCATACCGGTATTGCGCCGTACCGCCACTGAAGTTCTCACGAAGGCCGAAATATCTCCTCACTATGCCGTTAACCAGTTTAGAGATGTCAGGCGAAACCCCATTATTTCCCTCTGTTCCCATGTTTCTCTTTTCGCTGCTCTCATCCAGATTTCCCTCCTATCTCTACGTCAAGGCCGAGCAAAGAAAAAAGGAGAGGAGAGGGAGTTTTACCTCTAACTTCAACCCGCGCTCCCGGTGGCTATAATACGGCCCACCGAGGGAGGTTGGTTACTTGAATAGAGGGATTGAGTTTGAGCCCCGGTGCTATAGTGGTGAGGCTAATTATAGTTTTTGCGGTGAATGGAAGAGTTTGCTAGGTCCCGCACTGACGAAATAATGAGGCCTCCCGAGAGGGAGAAGGGTTACCAATGGGCTCCGGCAGGAATGTCCAGCAAGGGCATTTTGAAAGAAGTCTTAGAGTACCACGCCTTGGGTTCTGTAGACATCATGGAATTAAATTTTGATGCATGATACCAACTGCATGGCAGACCATTGATAACTACGTTCCAAAGGCCGCCCAGGCCAAAGAACACCAACAGAAGAATTATACTGACCAAGAGTCAGCGTTGAAAAGAGGCTGGTCGGTATTAGTTTGAATGGTACCGTACTGTACTCGTACAGGCGCCGTGCTGCATGTACAGTAGGAGCGGAGGGTGAGATGTGGAATGGAATGGAATAAAAACCTTTCTATCCTTCCATAGATCTCCATACATATCTTTCTTCCTCCATGCATGCCCCCCCATATCATACCTCTTTGCACTTCTATGATAACAAAGGAAAAACATGTCTAGAGAAACTTCCCCATATAAGCCACTAAACCTCCAAGACAATTCACATCACACCCAAACGATCCACCGTACAGCACCCCTATCACTTCTAGAACCGTCCGCAACATCCTATCGTTCTTCCACCACCGCTGACAAGAACCTCATTCCTGTACTAGGACTATCCGCCCTCCCGTGAAAATCCCTACCACTCGTACGCCGCATCGCAAAATATGACTACCGGTATGCCAACCGGATTGTTTAGAAACTGCCAGGTTATGTTTCTGTGCCATACCCCGGGTGCACTACTATACTATCCTACACTTAAATTCCCTCATGGCAAAGTATAAAATAAAGTAAAATAAAATGTTGAAAAATGATTGACATGGAGATAATGATCGATGGTGAGGGTTTACGCAGTGGAGTAGAATAGCTCGAGTGGAGACAGGAGGTTTTACTTAGATGAAGAGGAAGACCATGATTGATTGTTCAGAGATGACAGAGAGGAAGAACTTGAAGAGAAAGGCAAAGTACAGGAAGTGGTTGTCTTGTAAGAGAGAACAAAAGGGAAGAAAAGACAGGGATGAGAAAAGTTTTCATAGGTTACGTGTCCTTCAGCAGTACAGACATATGCTACCGAAGTCTCTATGTATGAGCACATCCCGCACCAAGTGCGGCCATCAAGTGCTGTTTCCATCATAGAGAGAGAAAGAAAGGACGAGTGACAACTAATGACCCTCAACAAACCCCCAACCGAATATTCCACCACGCTTGGGCGAGATACGACGAGACCGGAGCCCAAATATTTGCATTTTTGTGCATTACAGCTATAGCATCATGTCTAGTATGATTTTGTGTGATATGATAGCACCTTAGTGATGAAGCACCCTCTCTATCCCTCGAACGATAAGCGGAACCCCGGGAGTGAATAAACAATCCTATCCTACCAGCACCCATCCATCCATCCATCCCCTATGGTATCATACCAAACACCACTCAGCACAATACCAACATATAATACAAGTATAGAGTACTTCCCAGATAATTTGTCATGCCCGGTTATTCACCCGCCTACCAATGACACAGTACCGATACAGTACTTTATGATACCTCCTCGAGTAACCCCACAAGCATATAGTACCAAACCACCTACCTACCTTCCCACAGGCGGATAGTTGCTACTATAATACCGACTGCACTGTACTCGTACCCGCGACAGCATATGCAGTGGGTGGGTGGGTGGTGTGCTAACTTTTAGGCAACCTGGATGCGCTTGCCTACCGGTAGCCTGCAGGCACAAGACTCCAAGCACTGTATGATATGATACCGGAGGTCTACTTGTAGCTGTACTGTACAAGGGGGGGGAAGGAAGTAGTGCGACACCATTGCAACTGCCTTTTGCACAATCACACTTCCACTACCAACCCCCCTCCTCCAATACTGACAGAGTCCCTCACACCCTGTCAGAAAAATTCTGGAAGGCAATATGCAGGTAAAGGGAACCTGGAGCAGAGAGCATAAATGGTCTAGTTAAATAACTATGTATATATGATTAAGATAATAATAAAATAAAATAATTTAGTAATCAATGCGCAAAATATTGAATACCGACGATTATTAACAAAGAAGAAGCAACGCTTTGAGCAAGAAACTACATGCGATGACTAAATCTATATTATCACTCTCCGAGAAATAGCAGAATGGTGTTTCAGAAAGATTGCTGCTAAATTGGAGGAAAAAATGAGCCTCAAAGTCCATCATAGTACCTGTGCTCACATCTGTCATGCTACTGGGAAACTGGTAGTCCTTCCAACTACCAGTGATCAGGAAGACCTCCAATCTTTCAAGAGTCTGACCTTCTTGATCTGAAGTCTTTTATTAAAGAAAATAAAAGAAACAGAAGGCTATCTTGGGAGGATATTAAAGAAGAGAAGAGATTAAAAGTATCAGCTAGGACAATTAGGAAGACAGCTAGTAGGAGTCTTAATTTGAATAAAAGAAAACCTTGTAAGAAGTAGGTACTCTAATATATATTTAACTTTTTATAAAACTAAAATATATTTTAGATGGGAATTGCCCCCCAAAAAGATACCAATTAGATTTGGTTGGTGTATGAGGAAAAGAGCTTAGAAATTAAGAGAGTGGTCAAGAATTATTTGGACAGATAAAACCTCTTTCTCTACAGCTGATCTTGGGCAGAGAGGATGGGTAACAAGGGAACCTTCTGAGGAGTATAATCAGGATTGCCTTGATGAGATCTGGGAGTCAGGAAGAGATACAGTTATAGTATGGGGAGTATTTTGTGGAGATTTGAGGTCAAAGCTAGTAGTGGTGCCAGGAAAGATAAAAATGGATTCTTATGAGTATACTAAGTGTATACTGGATCCAGTTTTAATTACTTTCAGGTATGAGTGTTGTGAGAGATTTGGTTGGACTAGAATTGTTGAAGATGGTGCTTCAGGGCATAAAAGGTAAGTTCTATCTCCTTCCTTTATCTTATAATTATTTTATATTCTGTCTTTTTATTATAAAACTACTTACTTATGAATGTAATCTAACTGCTAATTTAATTACAGATTTTCTACAAAGTGTAGAAAGAAAAATAAGGTAGATATATTGTCCTGGCCACCACAGTCTCTAGACCTGAACTTAATTGAAAATATCTGGGGAGATATGGAGGCTTACTTGGGGAGAAGGTATGGAAGAGTTGCAATTAGGGAAGAGCTAATCAGAGCTGTGAAGGAGGTATGGAATGCTATTCCTAATGGAAGGTTTATGGATCTTTGCAGAAGTATGCCAAAGCAGGTCAGAGAGGTTATCAAAAGAAAAGGACACCAAACTCATTACTGATTTAATATTTTCTTTATATTTTTATTTTTATTTTTCTTTCAGGAAATACTAAGGATTATTTTATCTTATCTTCTTTACTTATCTTATTTATTAAATGTTGTTGTGGAAAGAGGTAGTACAATATGTTGTCAACGTTATTCATGAATGGGAGTTTGTGTTGTACGAGTGTCGCATTACTTTTTTCCATACCCTGTACAGGCGCGGCACCTTGCAACTATCATATATCGGATTAGAAAAAGAAAGGAAAAAGGAAGGAAAAAAAGGGGGAAGGAGAAGCATTTCTGGTATGATATCATACTTGTATTATGTAGTGCTATACCGGTGTTTGGATAAATGTTTTTTTTTTCTTTTTTTCCTCTCTTCATTCAAGAAAGCCCAATGGGAAGGCTCCGCTACAGTAGTAGTAAATTTAGGATAGTTGTTACTGGCCATTGTTTAACAAACATTAGGTAGTTTGTACTGACTGTAAAAAAAAGGGCTGCAATCTACTGGTACTGTACTTGGGTACTAGGGTAAGTAGGGTGACATAGTACAAATGTCTAAAAAGTTTAGAGCTTTTGAGACAATGTTAACTAAGTAGAGGTTTTATATGGGAAATATAACATACTCGTAAACAACACAGCATCACTACCCCAAGTTATCCAATTCCTCACGCGTTCAAAACAAGATGAAGGTTGAAAAAAGTTGCACCCCAAACCTACAAGGCAAAAGACATGAGGAGACAACTTGTAATAATCATCTGAAAGTTGTTACCTTATGTGAAACTGCAGGATGGAGTTGGAGACTAATAGGAAAAGAACTGAAAATAGATTTTCGTACCTGCCAAAAGGTAAGTTAAGTCATTCACAGAAGCAGACCGGGAAATTGCTGATAACATATAGATATATATGCAGATAAAAGTTAACAGCACCCCCTTTAATGCTTTTCGAACGGGCCGTCCACCAATCTTTAATGAAACTGAGATTGTATGACTTGTAGCATTTATTACCCGAGATGCTCGTACATACTATCTAGCTTGAGGGGAAATTGGAATTGAGATGGGTGATGCCTGCTCAGCAAGAACTATCAAGAATGTGGTAGAGAAGCTTGGATATCACAAGAATATTCTACGATGAAAGTTCAATATCTGTCCTGCAAAGAAGCTAAAATGTGTGACATAGTGTCGCGAAAGGCTTCATTGGACCCGCGAGGAGTGGAGGAGAGTTTCGTGGACCGATGAGTCCACATTTCCAATGGCTGGGTTTGGGCATTGGCCCTAGATTATTTGGCTCCCAGAGGAAGAATTTCATCCTGACTGTATAGTAGATGAAAGCTTTGAGTAGGGAAGAGAGTCTATGATGACTTGGAGGGGCTTTTGTAGAACAACCAAGTCAGAGCTAGTGTTCATTCTCAGTAAAGCAAAAATGGACTCTATAGTTTATATAGAGGTGATTATGGAGCCATATCTGGTACCATTTTGGCACCAATGTTGTGAAGAGTATGGATGGGTATGGGTTATAGAGGATGGGGTACCTGGACATAAGAAGCATGCCAAGACTTATAGAGAGTTAAATGGGGTAGATATGATACCTTGGCTGGTACAGTCACTAGACCTAAATCTAATAGAAGCCTTATGGCTTGACCTGGAGACTGAAATGGGTAAAACCTGGGGCTGGATAGGAAATGTTATAAATTTACAAGCTTGTTTAAGGACCATTTGAATACAGATTAGAGCAGAGCAATTGGAAGAACTAATATCAAGTATGCCTGATCGCCTATATGCTGTCATTGCTGCTGAAGGAGGTGCAACACCTTATTAGCTAGACTTTTCTTTCTGTCTTATCCTTTTTTTATATATATACAGTTACTAGACAAAAGTCTTGGTGATCGTTCCAGGTGAGACAAAGTCTGTGCACTGACTGGAATGACTGGGTACTGGTAGATACTAGTATTATATGAGTTAAATAGCTACTATAGGGCAACAGCAGGAAAAAATAAATCTTGAATTAATAGCAAAGATAAAAATCAAGAATAAACCCTTATAAATTCTACTAGATCTTCAGATACCCCCCCTTTATTCACCATCTTAATAGTTATCATCCACTGTACCAATACTGAGAGATTCCCAGGAAAGCTGACAGATATAGTTACTCATACTGTTCATGAAGCCCTAGCTAGGACACCAAGCTCAAGATATAAGATCCATATATCTATACTTGAATAGTTGTGTAAGAAAACATGGAATTGTCAATAACTGTAAATCATAGAAACAGGACTTGGATGACTAACAGAAAGCAATCTAACAAGCTTGTCATTAGTGGAAATAATTTACATGATACATAATAGACCAATTATAATACCTTTTACAGTATCTGACCTTTCTTGGAGTGGCATCCTAGGTTTTTCAGAAAGAATTATTGTGGTTGTTGGGAGGGTAGTGTAAAGTAAAAGGGCTCACTTAGGGGTGTTGTATTTTCATGTGCCATTGCTGACTAAGCCATCACCAAGACTTTTGTCTAGTAACTGTACATGTTCTTTATTTCATTGTATTAAGATACTTAACTTTTGGTGTCGCTGGACTTTTTTCCTGCATACAAAAAAATATCCTATAGAGGTGGTTAACAGTCTATTTCTGTTCTAGCTCCTACACATACTCCTGCTTGCTACACCAAAGTGCAGTTGCCACATTTGGGTGTCGCCTGACTAACTGCACCCCCTGAGTACTGTACTCATAGTAGGGGTATTCAAAGTTGAAAAACTTGAAAAAAAGTAGCTTACTATTCTGTTTCATGTAAGCTTGGCACAGCCAGAAACAGTTACTTTATAATAAATCTAACTTACTAGATATTATAGGTTTTCCTGGTAGATACGGACGTTAAGAGGTCAGTAACGAGTAAAAGTAGGTATTTAGTAGCAGAGTATGTAAAGATTATATAATTAGAGTAGGAAGAGAAAAAAAAAACCAAAGAAAAAAAAAGATATTCAAACAACCTCAATTAGGGACCAATGCCATGTACCTCAGAAAAAGCAAGAATTCTGCATCAACTTCATAATATATGGTTATTAAATACTATTGTTCAATCAATATTCCATGATGATGATAATTTGTTCCTCTTTTTTTCTTATCTTCAGCCTTTGCACCCAGCTCATTTTCAACCTCAGAATGCCAAAAACTTCAACCAGAACCTTCTTTCTATTATGTTAGATACTCCTATGATGAGAAATTCCAACGGAGACAATACACTTGAAATATGTCTTAATAGAAGGGAGGAGGGACTAGGGGAGGATGAAATAAAAACTGTTAAGTTGTGTGGACTTAGAATACCAGCGATATGGTATTTGATGCCACGAAATCTGATACCACAGTCTGATTATATATTCAATTACCATGTATGTAATAAATTAAATATGAAATGTTTTTAATAAAATAAACCAGATATTAATGTAAATTAGATTTTCATAATGTCAGAAGATAGATTTAAAGCATTCTTTTGAATGAAGCGAAACTCCTTCTAGTGATTATTCTTACTTATTCATACCGATCCCATTTTCCAAAATAACTCCAATAATTCTCAAGCCTCCCCTGCGATTTAGTTGGCAACAGCTTTATATTTTCTAGGCTTTAATGGCGTATCAACAGTTTACAGAGTAGCTCAATTAGGAATCGGTGAAGGAACTGCAAGATTATACTGCAATTGAAGTATATACGCTCTTGTTCGACTTCTTTTACGCCTTATCAAGTGGCCTCAACCAGCAAGCAGAGAATTTCAGGAGATGAGAATTCGGATTGAGCAGGATAGTGGGTTTCTGGGATGTATTGGCTTTCTGGACAGTACAGATATGATCCTACAATATGGATCCTCTTATTATAGCGAGACCTATTTCAATAGGAAACAAAAATATGCCTTAAATATACAAGGTATTTAGAATAGCGAACGAAGATTCACCTTCATTTCAAGTGGCTTTTCAGTCTCTGTTGGAGATGCAACAGCTTTCTGTAGAAGATTCTTTTTTAAACAACTAAATAACCTTTTCTCACGGCTGGACAAGTACGTTTTGGCAGATAAGGCTTATCGCATTACTCATTGCTGTATAACACCTTACAAAGAACCTCTTGCAAGCTGGGAGGTTGGAGGATTTAAGGATTTTAATAGAAGGTTAGCAGAAGTATGAATTAGAATTGAGCATGCCTTTCGTGTTTTAAAAAACAGATGGTCTTTCCCAAGAGAAATACCAATTAAAATAACTAGTTTAAATAATCATGTACGAGTTATAGCTTGGATAATGGCCTGTATAGTATTATATAATCTTCTTTGCGATATGGAAAATGATGAGGAGTAGCAGCCTAAATATGAGATAGAAAGGGATTAGGGGATAGAAAATGATGAAAACCTGAAGGATGAGGTATTAGTCTGAGGACTTGAAGCTGAACATCAGGCTAGGACAGAATGGAGAAATAGAATGTATAAATTTTTTTTAAATAGAATATAATTAAAGAAATAACCTGAGAATTAAAAAAAAAAAATAGAAAGAATAATCAATATGTGACATATAACTTTTACAAAAAATAAAAATAATAATTCAAAATACAACTTAAACTTTCATATATCTAGAAATACTATAACTTACTCCAAATTTCCTAGATTAAGTTCTTTAAAATTCCTCTAACTATTAACACTTTCTCTTTCTAATGTCTCTTGAAGTTGAAGAAACAATAAATTGGTTCGGCGTTGTTCAACCTTTGTCTGTTCTCTTTCCAGTTCTAGCTTTTCTCTTTTTAAATTGATTTCTCTTTCTTGTAACTGGCCTTGTTGTAAGAGATGTCAATTCAAAAAGTCAAACTTTTTGTCCTCACCCTCTGCCTTTGCTGATGTGAGTAGACTGACTCCTTCTACAAGGGTACTGGATCTACCCTTTCTTCTTTGTTGAATCCCTGATGATAATACCTCCTCTTCTCTATCGGCTAATAACATTTCTGGAAATCAGCGTTTTCTGGATCCTCGAATCGTGGTAGATTGGATCGAATTTGGAGAATCTACTCTTCGTATCTCTTGTCCTTCCAAGTACGGTTCCATAATCACAGCTGCCTCCCCACTTCCATCATTCTCTTCTTCCTCTCTCTCCCTACTCCTACTCAAACTCCTCTCATTTTCAACCGTGATCTCCTCCTCTTCTTCTCCTATATCATTGAAGCTTGGAATTTGAAGCCTGCTATGCTTACTCCCGACAGGAATTATAGGAGCTACAGTTACCAGCAATTGATCAATGGTAGTAGCTGTACTAACTGGATCGAGGCCAGAGTTACAGGAGACTGGTGGTTGTACATTGAGTCGATTGCCGAGAATCTTTTCTAACCGGAAAAAATATACGTACCATGATAGAAGCTTATCTATTGAATTTTTTTATTAACTTAACAATTCTTGTATTATAAATGAATAATAAAAATAAGAAAAAATGACTTGTGCTATCATATCTCGCAAACTTCTTCTTCCTTCATATAAATTCTCTTCTGATAAACCCCATCTACTTTGATTATTCAGATTTGCAGCAGCTCGATAAGCTTTCATGAGGTTATCGTATTTGTATCCAACCTTAACAGGTTCCTTCGTAGGGATGTAAGCTGCAATTTCACTCACAACTGCTTTTTTTGTTATCCCAGAACCTTTTTTAATTTTTTGAAGATTTTTGAGATCCTCAAGCCACTGAATAAGGCTCTCCATCTTGTTCTTGGTTCAAGTAGTGCTATCAGAATAATTGCATGGCATTGTAACAATGGGGGCTGTTATTGTTGTTGTCTGGTTTCTCTTGCAGTGTTGGAATCTTACAAGGTAAAAATTTTTTCATTTGTACACTAAACTTTAGTTTACTTACCATATTTCTCCATTATGAAAAATCTGGAGGCCTCAACTATGATACTTGGTACTCTATGATCCTATTGGCCCTGAGCTTCTGGTACACTAATGCAGGTTCAGGTATCAACTCATTTCTACTCCCCATCCTTTTCAACTTTGAATACCCCTAGTCTCGTACTCGAGGATAGTACATAAGACAAGTCTACCGTAGTGCTTGCACTGTGCTTAGCAAATTGGGTATTCTCGCCTTGTTTCCCCACGTTACTTGCCACAAAATAGGCGCGGTTCGGGTTTACGGCCATCGTATCATATCTTTTTTTTTTTTTTATTCATACGTTTATTGATTATGGCTCAAAAACCTGCATGCACCTCGCGGTATGGCAATAGAAAAAACCTTAATTTCACACGCATTAACAAAAGGAAACATATCTCCCCAGCTTCCAAGCCTCTCAAGGCCCACACAGGCTACGCCTGGTAATCGGCCACTATTTTCGGGCTAATATAGCCCCTCGCATCGTGTAAGATGACTAACAGATAAGAGACGACACCCAGTTCACATACTCCGGGCCCATATAAGGTAAAGTAACGACCCCTAACAGGCTACCGACCTGACAGGCCCAACACAGTATAGCTGTGCATACACCGATGCAACGAAAAAAAAAGAAACCAAAGCCCCAAACAGAAACTAAGGTCAACTGGTTGACATATCTACCTCGTCATCAGCCCTTTCCCCATCCCCCAAAGGGGCTGGTTGAGGGCGAAGGGGGCAGGTAAGGGAGTGGGCATCGTGGGGTCCATCACAGTTAATGCACTGCACAGTAGAGTGGCTGCAGGGGCGACCTCGAACACGACAGGTGGAAGTAGGGTAAGTGTGATCCCTAGTAGCATGTGGCAAAGCGCACCAATGGCAGCTCGCAGAGCTGACACATTTATTGGTATGATGTCCATAGCTATGACAGGTAGAACATTGAGTGTATCGGTTGTAGCGCAGGCGGCGCTCAGTACGTTAGAGGTTGGAAAAGGCAGAGAGGCGTCTGCTCACAAAGGATTCAGCCTTCAGGCCAGTAATAGAGATAACGACTGTGGAGGCAGATTTGCCCTCCCACACATCATCAGAGGTGAGCCACCTTGGCTGCTCCGTAAGGGACAGGCCAGGGTTAAAGGTAGTGAGTTCGCTTGCCACAGAGGCTAGGGGAAAGGAGGTAGGAATGCCATGAACCAGGATTTGGGTGGCAGGGGTGTCGAGATGAACGGTTGAGGCACCTGGGATGAGGTGGAGGAAGAGGCCAGCCTTGCTGTTAAGCGTGGTCGCCTTAACTGAGTCCATTGTAGTGAGAGTGACGAGACCACCTGCTAAGGAGGCAGACTGGGCAAGAGTAGAGGCCAAGGCCTTGTTGATACCGTCGCGAAGCTGGACGGCAGTAGACGCTAGGGGGGAGCCATCCCTCTTAATAAGGAGGCGACGTTCTCACATAGTAAGGCCCTTTCTTGCAGGCTGGGCAGCAGCCAGGGGGGGAGGGTTTATGGGCCTGGGGGGCCACCTTCTGGTTCGTGGGGGCAGACCTCCTGGGCTTCCTGGCAACTGTTGCCCAACTAGGGGGGGCAGAATGAGCAGGGGCGGCAGGGGCAGTAGTAGAGGTAGTAGGGGGGGCCGAGAGGAACTTTGGGACTGTAGGATTGAGGGGCTCCGAGGCAGGAGTAGTGGTGGCAGGCTGAGGGAGGGGAGGGGGGGCACGGGCCGCCTCACACTCCTTGGTTAAAGCGGCAAGGTCCTCAGTGAGGCCATCAACCGCTCTCCTGTAGTCGTTATGCATCAGCTGCATCATTCTAAAGGCAATGAGCCAGGAGTTGCCAAGTTTGGGGTTTTCGGTGAGGCCCATCTGAAGACCTATCATGACGAAAAGGTCTTGAAAATAGGGAGCCCTTGGAACAGACCCCTCCTGTACCTCGGGAGGTATCACGGGGAGGGTGGAGGTGATATCGCTTCGTGGCCTCTTAAGAGAGGGGGGGCCCAAGGGCCGAAAAATAGGTGGGGTTCTGCTACTGCTACCTCTCCATTTCGGAACAGGGGCAGGAGGGGGGCGAGGGCCTTTCTCCTTCTTCCCCCCTAGGGAGGTGGAAGGATCCATGGCTGGTAGGAGGGGGGCTTCTAACTGCGGGGTAAAGAGGTGAGGCTGTGAGAAAAGGTTTTCAGCCAATGACAGGAGGTCTTGGCAGAAAAAGAGGTGTGGTTTTTTCTTTGACTGTGGTTGTAATGGGCACGGAGGATGGCCGTCGTATCATATCGGTACTCGAGTACTTGTACCGTATGTGCTCGAGCACCGGTACTAGTAGCCAAACCTCCCTATTCCGTCAAGGTACATATACATACATACTGTACGGACGGATAGACGTGTCGTGCCGTGCCATGCCATAGCTCGTTTATCGACATGGCCCTGCCTCATTTCCCCTACGCGGGGGAGAGCAGGAAAAAGAGAAAAACTAAAAGAGGGAAAGGAAGAATAGAAGGTGAAAAATGGAAGATAAAAAAATAAAATAAAATAAAACTATCTACAGACAGACTGAAGAGGAGAACAAGAAAACTAACCCGTGAAATAACACAAACTCCAGTCTAAATCCTCCGCTGTAACCCCACTCCTCATTCCTCATTCCTCCTCACTGGACTCGCTCTCATCGAGCACTTCTCCACCAACCATCCTCGAGAGACTCGTGGGGACCGCAGATTTATGGACGAGTCCTAGTTTTGGTCTGCTGGTCGCGTCGTCGTCTTCGAAGATGATCTCCGAATCGCCTCCCTGGACAGCGGTGCTGGGGTCCTCTCCACTCTCCAGGGCTTGCTCGAGCTCCAAAACGAAGTCGAAGCCATCGTCGTCTTCTTCTTCCTCTTCCTCCTCATCTTGCCCAGGCGCTACCACAGGAGCAACCGGTTGAGGAGCTCTGGGAGGATTCGGCTCGTCGTCTGATTCCTCGTCGGCGTCCGATATATCTTCCTCTTCCTCAGAAATGTCAGTCTTGGACGCAGGCTCCATATCCCCCTCGTCGATGGGTCGGGTATTCTTGGGTACAGGCTTGTGAGGCGGAGATACGTGACGAGGTGGGGCGTCATAGTGCTCATCGTCATCCTCGTCGTTATCCTCATCATCCGCTTCGCTCTCTTCCGAACCAGAAGCCCGGTCGCGAACACCGGGGCTCGGAATTGTTATGCCACGATGCCCTGCTGAGGGATTCCTCCTCCCACTAATAGTGGGGCTCTTCCCGCTGGTCTTCCTGTTTGAGCTATAGGGTTTTCTAACCCTGCTGCTGATAGGCGGGCGCCCACCGTATGTAATACCTAGCCCTAATCCACTCTCTTCCTCATCCTTTCCACCCTTCTCTCCGTCCGACTCGTCGGGATTCTCCGACAAGGCCCCGGCAGCGATCAAAGCTTTCTTTCTCCTCTCCTCCTTCTCTGCTCGCTGCTCGGCTCGGCTCTTGGTGGTAGCCTTCTTATTGAGGAAATGCCTGTAATCAAACGGATTGTCGTCCTCCTTCTCATCTGCGGAGATCTCATCATCATCCCCGTCCACTACGGGCGGCCGTAGAGGAAGTGGAGGGTGCGCGTTCGCAAATACCTTCGCATTAAAGGTGAAAGCTGAAGACAGCTTTTCCAGAGTGAAGGTTTGCTTCTCAGGATCGAACAGGAGGATACATTCGGTCTTCTTGGGGATATGCTGGGCACCCTCGTAGACGATATGGTTAGGAGAGGGCTGGCTCGGGGGTGTGAGCGTTAAAGTGTAGGGCGCCTCACCGCCAGCCTCACTCTTAGTGAGACGAGGGGGGACGCCGTTAGCTAGTGAAGACGGCGGCTTAAAATTATCTACGCCAGATGTTGAGTCAATTTCAAATCCGACTTCCACCCAATCGCTTCACAGAAGAGTAACTAGCAAAGTGGGGTAAAGTGGGCGGGTGGATTCACAAACATTTGACACTCGCGAAGAGATCTCCGTCTACATGGCCGTTCTCTCGCTTGAGGGAGTCCCCAATAACTATGTTGTACCTTCCCTGCTTTGTGACCTCGATAGTAGGCTTCGACGATTTGTCTGCCGCAGCAGGCATTATAAAGCGAGTAGCGATCAAAACCCGGTAAAATCTGGAGGAAGTTTTTAGGGCTAGTTTCTTTCTCCTGTTTGCTGGCTCTGCCTGGGGGCGCTCGGTGAGTAGATAGGTACGATAGGTAGATCAGTGGGAGGAGGGTAGATAGCTGGGAGCGAACGAAGAGAAGGGAAAACTGGAGCTGAGGTAGGTGTGGCAGCATATACGGTACCGGTTAGCGTTGGGTTACATTAACCGCCCAACACCCTAACCTCATGCTGGTTTGCAGATGCCGAAATGAACCCTCGAACAGGTTAACTTATCATTTGAGTAAGCGATGCTTCATCCGATGAAAGTATGATATCATACCGGTAAATTAGATGAAGGCCGAGAAAAGGAAGAGAAAAAAAGAAAAAAAAGAAGAAAAAAAGAGCCGGTGTTAGAAAATCTGATACATAAAGGCCTTGGCCTCGTCCTTTCTTCCAAATTGGTGTCCTATTCTCATGAACCTAAATCTTCTTGCAGCCATTGTTTGAGTTGAAGGTACATTCATCATAGATTATAAGAACCATTGAATAACAGTTTAGGGGGTATAACTTTTCAATTATATTTAGATTTTTATCCCATTTCATTATTTGTGTCTTAAGGGATTATATCCTAGAAAGAAAGATATTTGTGTAGTATTCCTTAACCTCTATTCTCTCATAGCTATCTTTGTAGACTCGGATACCTTTTTTAACTTCATTCCAATTGCATCCTAATTTTAAGAATCAGGTATGAGCCGCTAGTAACCGGCTTGAAAGTAGTCTCTTAATTCTCTGATAGATTATGAATACTAGTAATTGAAATTATTAGTAGGAGATTTTTTTCAAATGTAGTAGTTTTCTAGATATCATATATATTATACATAAAAGCATAATCCATATAGCACATGACCAAAACACTAGTGAATCAGATTATATGTTCAACTTCATACTCTATCATAGTTATCATGATAATAAGATATTATTGTACCAAATAATAAGGTATTTACATAGTCCTCTTCACAGAGATATAAAGTATAGAACCGAAGGGTTTTTACTAGGTAATATAGAACAAGCTCTACTCTATAAGATAAGACTTAGTTGGATCAAATTAGTTGATTAGTTATATAATACTATGACTACTATAACAATTCAATATACTATTATTCTCAAAGATATAAGAAGAAATATATAGACTCTCATTACTTGTAGGAATAAGAGTTATTCAGAGACTTGTTTATGACTGGTTGTTAATAACAAATAAATCACTAGTTGATCAAAAGAGTTATTACTATTATGTACTCTAAGCTTTATGCATAAAGGATATATTGATAAGTTCTTTGACAGACTCAAAGCTGATCACTGTACCTAGGATGAGAGTAGAATAGTTAGTTTTTGAAGTTAAAAAAAGTTTGTACTTCTAAGATACTAAATTATTAGTATAATAGATATATAGTTAGTAAGAAATTTGATATAGTTTGTAACTGTTCAGATATGGAATATAAATATTAAGGTGCTTTTCTAGCTTTAAGATCATCCTCCATTTCCGCTACACCTCTGGCGATTGAAAACTCAACACCATAGTTTCTATCGTGGCTTTCATCGTCTAGCACCACCACCCCAACCTCCATCTCCCCCCATCTAGCCTCGGCTACAGGAGGTGGGCTCGCTTCCCCTCTCTCTTGGGGTCCTGATTTATTTCTTGATTCCCTCGGTTCCATCCCTGGTTGAGGCCTCTCATCTTCGTGATGTTTCTCCTCTTCCTACCCCGCCTCCCTTAGGTGTTGGCATGGTCGGCAACCCCCTTTTCCACCTTTAACAGAAGGCCGGGACTACAGTTGCAGTAGGAGATAACAGCTTACAGGCTACAGTTGATCTCTCCATTCTCTTGCCCCCATAAGAGGCTGCCTAGTCGGACACGAACGCGGTTACCAATAGTTGTCGCTCATGGAATTGGGTCTACCCCTCCTCTACTCTTTGGGGCCTCTTTGGCTGGTAGGTGGTGGGATCCCTTCCACTACAGTGACGCTATCTCTCCCAGAACAAGGGACTACATGAGAGATGCGGGAAAACACTTGCTTCGCTTAGGGCTCCTCTCCACAGTCGGATCGGCTGGTACCCTACTACCACCTCCTCTCAAACTGGCACCTTACTGCCTCAATCGTCGAATGTCCTAGAGGACACATGGTCGCTGGCACGACTGCCACACACCTCCTCTCCTCACTTCTCAGTCGCCGCCTTCGGGGTGGTTTCTCTTATACCCTTTGTGTCCGGGGCTTCGTCTCCCTCCTCCTGGCCCTCGTCATATGGCCTAGGGGTTCCTATATTGGATTTGAGTTGTGATCGTTGGCCCTTAGGAGTTCGGTTTGGGTTTCTGCCTTTAGGTATTTGTTCTTGAGGTTTTGGCGGGTTCTTGGTTCACTGTCGGGTAGTTAGCTTTCTTTTGTCGCTTGGCGGTAGGGGTTATTGGGTGGAGCAGTTCACGGGAAGGATTACGGGCGGGAGTAGTTTTTTCTACCCCAGAGGGTTCTTTTAGCTCTGTCGTTCGGCCTGGTCCGGGGGGGGGCGGTTTTTTAGGCGTCATAGCTAGTGCTCCATATGCCTTTTTGTCCCATAAACAAAAATTTAAATGAGTCAAAACAAAAAAAAAAAAAAAACCATTTCTAGCTTTAAGATTATCCTCCATCTCTGCTACACCTCCGGTCATTGAAAAACATTTGCTAATCGGGAACAACTCAACACCAAGGAACTATTACTACTTTTCTTTAGCCTTATGCTCCCCCGCCAGGGGGTGCAGGCTGATGTTTTTCATCCTTTTGCCCATCGGGGCTGTCTTTTCATCCTCTCCCTCATCTGACATCTTGCCTCTGCTTGATGGATGTCCTCTCCCCTCCCTGGGGGTCTCGTCATGAGGCCTCTCTCCTCTCTACCCTGCTCTTACTAGACCTCGCTTAGCATCTGCATGGTCGGCTTTAGTGGCTGGGTGACGGTTTGACAGTCAGATGGGCCAGTGGTTCTCTGGGCTATCGGGAGTGGCAGGTAGTGGGATCCCTTCCACTACAGTGATGCTATCTCTCCTAAAACAAGAGACTATATGAGAGATGCGGTAAAACACCAGCTACTCCTGTAACCCCAGTTGCAGCCTCCCACCATATCATTTGGCCTGATCTTTATTTGCCTTGCCTTTTTCCTCTCTTCTCCTTTGGGACCGGCTGGCACCCGACTACCAGGATCGGTTGGCACCTTACTGCCTGGGCCCTCAGGCCCTATTATCACTAAGGAGGCAGTGCTCCTGCCTGCCCCTCCCACCCTCCCTCCATGCCAGGATCTCTTGGTGTTTCTCTTACTTCTGCCACCATCGTGGCTGCACTACAATCCTTTCCTGGCTCTGATGTCACCACAGGCATCATCTAGCCATCTCCACAACCACCTTCCTCACAGCTGGGGTCTACCCCCTTCCTCCTGGGCAGTATCGGCTACCCCCCTCTATCAAAGGTTGCTGGCATTTCTCACCTGTCTTTCTCCCTCTATGCTTGCGGCCTGCCCCTGGCCGAATGGCTAGTTGGCCTGCCTTGGTATTAGACTATCTCCTGGGTTGAGCTGACCAGCCCTATCATGACATTTTGCCAGGGTCCTACCATGGGCCCGACAGCAGACATATTCGTTTACAGATGCCTGTAGAGGCACTTGGGGGTTTCCTAATCTATTCTTTCCTTTGTCAAGATAACGCTGAAGGGTTTTCTTCTCTCTCCTGCCTTCCCGGTAGGGGACGATCGTTCCTTTGCAGGGCGAGATGTGCAGTTAGGCCCATACCAGAGGGTTTTGGGGCGGTTATTTTGGTCCCTAGGGCATGGAGAAATGCGTTTGGAATTAAGGTTTTATTTTTGCCATAGCTAGTACTCCATGCAGGTTCTTGTATCTTAATAACAAATATATGAGATAAACAAAAAAAAAAAAAGATTTAGCTTTGAGATATGATCAGTAAATGGAAAAGAGAACTTATAAATACATTTGTTCTACTAGTACTTTATACCATCCTCCGTCTCCACTACACCTCCGGCGATTGAAAACTCAACACCATGAGTTTTATCGCGAAACCATCATGATCACCACTTTCCCGCCCACTCCTGCCTTTGGCTTCGGCCTAGGGGAGTCTGGCTCTTCCCTCCTCTCACGCCCAGGGTATTGACTTCGGTCTACTGTCGCAGGACCCTTTCTGTCCTTGAGGGTTAGTCGTTTGGAGGCCCTCCTTGGCTGGCTGGCAGGTGGTGGGATCCCTTTCACTACAGTGACGCTATCTCTCCCAGAACAAGGGACTACATGAGAGACGCACTAAAACACCTGCTTTGCTTTGCCTAGGTAGCTGTTGATGATCTTTCTTACTCCCCCTTTCTCCTCCCTCCACGTGTGATGGGGAGTCCTCTCCTCCTCCTGAGTTGGCCTCGCTTAGCCTTCTCATGGTTGGCAACCACTTAACCACTATCGTCAGACGGCCGGGACTAGAGTTGCAGTAGGGGAGAACAGCCAACAAGCTACGATCAATCTCTCCATTCTCTTGTTCTCCTAAGAGGCTGCCTAGTCAGACAGGAATGCAATACCGATAGATGATGTTTAAGGTCTTTAGGTCTACCCCTCCGCTCTCCTCTCCCTATGGTTAGATCGGCTTGTACCCTACTGCTACACCTTCCCCTCCTCCAGGTTATTACCCACAGCCAGCTGGTCTCCTCCTTCCCTCTATGGTATTGCACTGTCTCCTTGGAGTGGGTCCAGGGGAGGCCCCCTATCTTGGCATGCTTCGTGCGTCGCTTCCTGCTTGGATGAGTGGACTCGCCCTTCGGGGCCTATGTGGCTTGCTATTAACCTTTCTTTTGTCTTTTTGGGATTTCTCAGTGGGTTTTCCTGGCCCTTCCTACTTTCTTCTTAGTTAGAATTTCCTTGTTCGTCCCTCTAGCCAGGCTTGGGTTTCTTTTCTTTGAGGCGAGATGTGCGGTTGGCTCCATACCAGAGGGGCTTGGGGGGTGGGCTTTTTCCTGTAGCGAGAGGAGGGATATGGGTTTTTTGTTGTTATAGCTAGCACTCCATATGTTTTTTATACCCTAAACAAATAATCAATGAGTCAAACAAAAAAAAAAAAAACTAGTACTTTATACTTCTATCTTATAATCCTTCTAAATTATCTTTAAGACAGAAGCTTATTAGGCCTAATATACACTTGCTTGTTCTTAGAGTTACCTACCCTCTAACAGTAGGGGTTGTTACCAACCTGGTACTTATTAGTAGTATTTTGGTAAATGTTTAATCTTGTAAAATGTGTAGTAGTA